TGGTCATGAATGGGTAGATAAAATATTATCCGCATGAAAGAGGCCCTCAAGAAGGCATCTACTCGGAGGTCCGAAACTAATGGGATCGGTCCCAGTGAAACCCTCAAATTGGCTCAGGTCCGAAATCTGCTGCTCACGGCAGACATCATACTTCCTGGTTTCTGGATGCCAGACAAAAATATGTGTAGTGTGTGTGTGTGTGGGTTGGTCTTTGGCACCTCGGGTAACTCGCCTGTGCCGTTTTCTGTTTCCAGCGATGTTTTTCAGATACGTTGTCCATTTCCCGAGTGTTCGAAGCGCATCCCTGGCTTTGGATCCTGCTTGAAGGGAACCAAATGGGTTTGTCTCAAAGGGCAACCCCACAAATCTGTCGATTTTCCGGCCATTCTCCTAACTGGACCATCAAACTAATGTTGGGGAGTGATTAATAAAGGCCCCCCCCCCTCCCCCCGCCCCCTCAAACGAATTGGGGGGGGTCAATAGCGAGAACCCCCAAAAACAAAATGGGGGTCAGACTGGGACCTGCCTGAGTAGTTTTCCAGTAAGTATTGTTTAGAATTGGCTTAGTATTGGTTTACTATTCCTTTGAGCTGGCTCACTACGGTTTAGAATTGGTTTAGTATTAGTTCAGTATTCTTTTCAGTTGACTCACTACAGTTTAGAATTGGTTTAGTATTGGTTCTTCTTCTTGGCAGGCCATGTTTTTTCACAATTAAACAAACTGCATTATTGGCTTCCTGGGGGTTCCGTGTGCCACCCCCTTGATTGTTTTTGTCAGGGTGCATCTTGTAGTAAAGGGATTGATAAGGAATTTGGTGGTTTGGGACAGGAAGCAATCCAGAGATTCTGGACATTTCTGGCTTTATCTGAGAACAGCAGGGCTTTCTTCTTGGCAGGCTGCCCTGGCCATTTTTTTCTTCACAATTCCCTACCCTTAAACAAACTGCATTATTGCCTTCCTGGGGGTTCCGTGTGCCACCCCCTTTGAAAATTTGGCAGGGTGCATCTTGTAGTAAAGGGGTTGATAAGGAATTTGGTGGTTTGGGACAGGAAGCAATCCAGAAATTCTGGACATTTCTGGCTGGACTCAAACGTTTCAACCCTCAAAAATAGACAATTCTTGAAAGGGGACATATTTTCGGGATTTCGGGCAGATTTGTTTCTGTAATACCTACCCTTTTTGCTTTTCAGGAGAGTGAATAATTTTGAGATATTTTTCTGTATTCACTCCCGTTTTATTAATCGCTATCTAACATTACCCTTCACAAGAAAAATTACCAATCATAGTTTTAGAGCAATAACGCAGGAGTTGTGAGGGTCCAGGCACTCCATTTGCTGGGGCTTGACTTGTTTCCTTCGCTGTCCATGCGTGATCCAGTGATCCAGAGACCCACCTAGGCAGTGGACACAATTGGGTTTGGGTCAAAAATAGGTACCCAAAATGGAACCCTGGTAAATGGAAACAAGGACCCAAACCTGCCGTCGCCTGGTGGCATTATATTGACCCAGACACGTTTGTTTTCCTTGCCTGGGAAGCCCGGGTTTCTCCAAATCCCCACCTAGAGTCTCCATGACCCTTCAAAAATGGGGTCATTACACAAAAATAATGGGTCATGATGTCATGGGCCCATTCTTTTTGGGTAATGGAGACTCTAGGTAGAGGTGGGCAATCTGAACATTCGATCCCTCCGACCCTCCCCGTGGAAACCGCTCCTCCACTTCCTGTGCTGTGTGCAGATTCTGGGGGTAGGGCCTCAGAAGGACACCTCTTCCAGTTGCTTTTCCGCCTCCTGAAAAAAAAAAAAAACTTTCCAGTAGGAGATCGATTCCCTAAAACCAACCAGGCAGAATCGGAAAACAAAAACACATTTTAAAGCAACTGGACGCATACCCGCTGGATGGGCCAAGGGTCACCCGCACCCAACTCTTGGGTTCCCGCCCCATGGACCTAGGGAAGGCCCAAAACAGGTTGGGAGTGCTTGGGGGCCAAATGCTGGGAGTTCTCCTCTCACTTTCCGGGAGGGAAAAAGAAATGCGCAGGGCCAACCTTTCGGAACCTTGAAAATACAGTCAGCCCCAACTTGGTTGCTTTCCTCCGATTGCCCAGAGTAGCCAGAAATCAGAGGTTAGCCTTTGGGGACCTTCACTAAAACAGACGTGACACGGGTCGATCCTTGTTTCACGGCAACCGAGTGTCCAGGTACCTATACGTGTCCACCGATCCCACACCGACCAAATCGCGCTGAACACCTCTTTCCGGCTTCCGAAAAGAGTCCAAACAAGGAAATTCAACAAAAAACACCAACACTACCTCGAAATACCATCCTCGAAATACCATTCAACATGGGTTATTGCCCCAAACTTATGGAGTCCAAGTGCCTTCTTTTGCTTCAAACGTTAGCGTCCACTCCGCAGTTGAGAGACAAAAAACAGCCCCTTGTCTGACACCAAAGTGGATGATTCCCCTCCCTGTGACCACTACTAGGTCCTCCAGTAGAGAGCTTAGAATAATACCATTTTTTTCTGTAGTAGTTAGTAGGGGAACCCTCCCCCAAAAAAGTTGGTTAAAGGGACCTAGCTGGGGGACCTCGACTAATATAACTTTCAAGTGGATTCTCCTTGCCCGGGGCATCTTTAGCCCTCATGTCAGTACGGGGCTTTGTAAGGTCGATAACCCTCCAATGGAGGACCTAACCCCCTTCATTGCAGGGTCACATATTGATTGCGTCCCTGACATTGGATGTTGGTAGCCGATTCCCAATGGAAATTTGGCGACTGTGACCAATGACTTCCTCTGTCAGCAGATGACACCAAATGTTGACGGTTGCTCATCTATTTCCCAGCCATGTTGCTGTACGCTCCAAGCTCTCCTGCAACCAACATGTACGTGGCTCGACTTTTTCCGGGGTACCCGTTTTGGGTCGATTTGAAGGCAGAAGGAAACCCAGTCACATGGCTTACCCGATTTTGAGACAACCCAACTACCTCATCTTGGGGGCCTTCTGCCCAGGATTTTCGAGCGAGCTTTGGATAACTCATGCGCGCCCTGGCTCTAAATGAAGGATTTGAAGGAAAACGAATTGCCCCCACAACATCACCCAAGGGTTCCTTGCCCCATTAAAACACATGCAAGGACCCAATTTAGATGACAATCCTTAGGCAAACCATGGTGGTGAACCCAACCATTGTTTAATGATGGTTGAACCCCTGCAATTTATCTTGAGAACCGCTCAACAGGTTCGTTCTTGGAAGTTCGATTCGGCCAAGTTAGAAAGTGGCTGACGCCACCCGGGTGAGAAAACCCACGCAAAAAAGAAGAATAAAAAACAGGGATAACCCTTATGCAAGTGCCTAGATAGTTGCTGTTCTTAATTACCGGTCACAGTTGCTGGTTTTTTGGGGCAAAGTGCATGGCCAAAAAACCAAAAAAAAAGCAAATGACGATCCAGGCGGGTTGTAGTGACTTGGCCGATTCCATCCGTTCGCCACATCTTCCGCTTCGGTTCTCTGAAGTCGACTCGACCGACCCGAGGTTTGGGTCTGCCCACCTTTAAGGCGCATGGGAATCACACTCCCTCTGGGTTCCACCTGGAATTTGGGGCTTCTCAGTCCCAAACGGGAGCTTCCGAGGGGTTGTGGCTTGCTGGGGGATCCCAAATAGGACATGTTTTAGTTGGGTTGTGGCTTGCTAGGTCAGTCCCAAATCATCTTCTGGACATTTGAGTCGGGTTGTGGCTTGCTAGGGGCGTTTGTGCATGACCACATGGTTCTCTCCCCCTTGCGAGCTTCTGACCGTGCCAGAGCAGGCTTCACGGGAAAAAATCCATCGAGCCCATCCAGTCAGATCCCAATGGGAGCGGAGAGAAGTCAGGCCGCACGGCCGAGAAACTTTTAAATTCACTAGACAAAGGAATTCGCAGTGCTAGGTGCCATCAGTGCTAGGTGCCATCCTCAAATGTCTCCTCAAATGTCCAAACATCAAGTCGCAAATCAACATGGAACCTTTCAGATGTTGGAAGTCGGCTTGAGAACTTCCAGCGGAGGGTTTTGTTGATGGACCGTTCTGCATAATATTAAAACCAAATGGTGTCCTTTGTTGTTTGTTGTGCCGGCTCGCGGCCCAATAGGCCCGCAGGGAGTGGGTTTTTCGAGGAAGGCCTGGGCTTTGAATTCGGTCGCCGGGTTGCCTCAAATGACCACGGCGGGTGCCCCGAGGTCCAACGCCGAAACGGCGGATGGGGTATCCGAACTCTGGCAATCCTCCAAAGAAGGTTCGTCTGAATAAATGGCCTAGGTCCTCCAGAATTGAGAGGTTAGAATAAGGGTACCAACTTGTTGCTGTCTATTTTAGTAGGGGAACCCTCCCCCAACAAAGTTGGTAAAAGGACACTACTGGGGGACCTACTGGCCCTGGACCCTCAAAAACTACCCATAAACATTGGAATATACACCAAAATTGTGGGGCATTAGCATATTTTTAAAGGGTAGTTCGAGGGTCCCGGGCCTAAATTTCAGTTCAGGACCCTTTGGTGGACATTTACGCCCGCCAAACTTCTTTTGTGGTTGTTGCCACTCTGAAGATATCATAACCAAATGATGGGTTGACGGCCGGGTGCTTGGCTGGCGCCGGCACAGGCGCGTTTGTGCGAGATGAATGGACGGCAGGGCTAGAGGAGCGCAGCTTGGGGTGCTTCTGGGATTCCTTGAAGAACTTTGAAACCATGGGAAACCATTGTTTGTTGGTATTTAAAGGGGAATCATACTTCCAGGGTTTGCTAGGTGGTGGGATTTCGTCCATCCACAGTGTTTGTCAGGTGAGTACAAGGTGAGAGGATGAGACCCAATCGCAGGTCTGGACCCCCAAAAAACAACCCATTCCATACCGAGGCCATGGGGATAAAAAAGGCATTTTGCCCTAAATGGAACCTGGGGCCTCAAAATATGTCCAATTTTGACACCCCGTTTCAGCGACTCGGGGTGTGGTACGGGCACGGCACGGAGTTCTGCATACCCTTAGGGTGAGGGCAACCAAAAGTGGAAATCGTGGCCGTGGAACTCCGAATCGGTTCGCGGCTCCGGAGCACCCTTAGACCAAAGAACCGCTCGCGCCCTCTCATTCTCCCGGATTTGTTTGGCCTTCGGAGGCAAGGCCGAGGGGCGTCTACTCACTTCGAGACCCACAAAAAGTCTGCCACCAACATCCTGGATCGCCAGTTGCGATCGCTTTTTGTCCATGCACTTTACCCCAAAAACCGATCGCAACAGTGACTGAAAAAAGCGATCGCAACTTGGCTATGCAGGATGCTTGTCCCAAAAGCTTGAGGTTCACGAACTCGAGTGAATCAAAGGCCACATCCGAAGATTGGACCCCTTTCAGTTTGGAAACTCTCATGTAATCAGGTACCTCAGGTGAGCGGCTACTTTCTGCCAGGCGGTTCGGCACTATAGGTAGGGGAAATCATCCATGGTCAAACATAGCTTGGTTGCTGTTGACCCCCCTGCAAAAAGTTCAGCTTTTTGGGGGTTAGTGGAAAACACCTCTATTTGAATCAAAAAGTTAAAGTCTAAAGATCCAACCCAGTAGCAGTCAAGATGGGAAACCATCCATGGTAAAACATAGACATATCCCGAAGGGCTTGCCTGGAAGCACTGGAAAGTCGCAAGACCCCCAATTGGCTAAGCAGAATGAGAGAGTCAGAGCTGATAGCTTCAAAGAGGCCCCAAGCATCAGCCGTGAGCCATGTGCGCTGTATTGGAAATCCAAAAGTACATCAATGCTTCCCAACAATTCCAGAGGTTGATTCGTTGATTCCCTGTCCATTCTTTTCAATCATTCTTCCGTTCTCCGGGGTTTCTGGAGGTTGTCTGGAACGGATCCCTGGGTTAAGAATGGAAATGGAAGGTACCCCTAGGACAATTCTAGACTCAATCCAGCTGGGCAATTGCTCCACGGGAACAAAAATTTGCTGCCTGGCGCAGCTCTAAGAAGCTTCCGCTTTCGGATGTACATCTGTGTCCAGTGGTTTGCAGGTACCACTACCGGCTACTCCAAAAGCACAGAAACAAGAGGGTCCGCAAAAAGACACAAATGGCAGAGGCAAAAACCGGGTGTTCAAAAAGCACACTGGAGATTTGGGTTTTCTACAGCAATTGTGTACGAGTCTCGCACAGTTGTTGCACGGGTTTCAAGACGCAAAACCAGTTTCTTCAAGCGAAGACCCGGTTTTTGAGTAGCTGGCACCCAACTTGTTGGTAGCTTACGCGTAGCAGGTATACTTACCCAGTGCTTCCAGTTACCACTATAGGCAAGCAGGGGAAATCATCATCTAACACGTAGAGGGAAGGATCCCTGGTTACCTAGAATAGTGGGAACTGGAAGCACAGGGCTAGGCAACCAGGGATCTTTCCCTCTATGCTCTACATGATGCTTTCCCCTGGTTCCCGAAAGTGCGAACTGACAGCACTGTGTTGTTGAGTTCGGATCAAACCGGATCCCCGAGAAGGGACATTATCCATTTTTGGAGGTTTTCTTGACCCGTATGGTCCCGATTGGGCCGAGAAAAGCTCACATTAGTCTAGATGGGGACTGCCCTGCTGTGGAGCATTCCAATGGTTGAGGAAAAAAGGAGTCATCCCCGCGACTACTTTCTCGCTTTGACAAGATTCTCTTGGAATCATCAAAGTGCCTGGAGTCTCTATGACCCCTAGAAAAAGGGGTCATGCCCCCTGAATTTTGGCTAATCACCCCATGTTCAAAGGGTCTTGGAGACTCCAGGCGGCTCCAAATCCATAGCTCCCACAATGAGAAGCAGCTTGGCCCACATCTGGGGTGCACGAAAACAGCAACACAACTCATTCAGACTCTGCGCCAGATTTTGTCCACCAAAGTATCAGATTTGATGGAGAGACCAGAAAAGTAAGCCCAGTCTTTCCAGCTACCACAGTAAGTAACCAGAAATCCCTACCTGGAGTCTCCATGACCCCTGGAAAAAGGGGGTCATGACCCCTTAATTTTGGGAAAGGACCCCATTTTGTAAGGGTCATGGAGACTCTAGGTACTTCTATGTCTTACCATGAATGGTTTCCCTGCCAGTGGCTTGCTTGGAAGCACTGGGGAGCACTTTGAGCGCTGGGTTCCCCAGCCGCCTCTCGCCGAGGGCGTGCCCGCTTTCCTTCGGCCTTCGGCCTGAATGGATCTGTGCGCGCGCTTGGCCGCCTGGCGCCCATCCTGGACTCCAGGATCTCATAGGCAAGCCATTTCCTGCCGAGAGCTGGCAAACTCGCAGGGCACAGGCCTTCCGTACGGAACTCGAACCCTTCAGAACCCAACAACCAGCCAGGACCAAAGACAACTTTCCTCGCGCTGATTGGCCATCGGGGTGCTCCAGCTGATCTGTCGGGTTGGCGAGATTCAGCCTGATACAACCAAGGGACCCTCAAAGTACCAACTCAAAGAATGGGTTTGCAACCCAAATATATGGTTGCCGATGTTTTTAGTTTAAGGGAATGAATTCCAGGGGTCCTACCCCAATTTCAGTCCAATTTTCACTCACCTCCCCTCCAAACCTCGCACCGGGTCGATCCAAAGCTCCGATCCCCGGCTCCCCGGCTCCCCTCTCCTCCAGCACCTCCGAGCAGTCCCCCCCGCGCTTGGGATCCCCCCAGCAGGCCACCGTCCCCGAGTCCAGCACCGCGCAGAAGGCGCTGGAGCTGGCCTGGACCTGCTGCACCTTCCTCGAACCAGCCCAAAGGGTCGAGGGCGGAATCGAGTCGAAGCGTAGGCGGAATCGGGTTCTTTGGTTGACATCACTGGGGGCTTATCCCTGGAGTCTCCTTCTGACCCTTGAAAAATGGTTGGTCAGACTGCCCACAATAATGGTTGGTCATTGACCAAATTTTAAAGGATCAGAAGGAGACTCTAGGTTGAAATCACTCGGGGGTTGAACCGATCAGTGCCATACTTTAGGCTAGGTCCTCCAGATTTGAGAGCTTAGAATAAGGGTACCAACTTTTTTTCAGGACGTCTATTTTAGTAGGGGAACCCTCCCCCAAAACAGGGGAGAGAAGGGCACTACTGGGGGACCTAGGCGATACTTTAGGGAACCCCCTCTTTATATGAAGGTTAGTGTCTTTGTGCCCTAACCATCATTGCGCCCTCCAGGGTCTCCATTGCAAGGTTTGGGACCTCAAAAAAGGCCGTTTTGAGGGCCCATGATGCTTAGGGTGGGGTTATTTCTTGTGAGATGTCGGGGTTTGTCCCCACTAGCCCAACTTTATATGGGGGCAGTCTTTGGGGTTCGGCTCTGTATCAGAAGTGGATTCCATTTCCCGCAGCCCTGGTCGAAGGTAAAGAGAGCCGCCCACCAAAAATGCCACCGGGGTCCGGGGTGAGCGATTTTTTTTGTGCATGGGTCTGAAGGCGCACACCCTCAAAAGACCAACTTGAAAACGGGTTCCCCAAACAAACCTAGGAAAAAATAGGTCATTGAGCAAAATTAGGAATTGATTCCCTTTTTGTATGGGCAGTTTGGGGGTTCAGGTGTTTTCTTAAAGGATTTGGACCCCGCAAAATGGCTTCGGTGTTCCTTTTTGGTGTTCCTTTAAAACCACAAAAAGGGGTGCCCTGAAAAACAAACCGTTTGGACACTTCCACTTTTAAGTAGTCCATGTACCTGAACCCTCAAACTACCCTTTAAGACGGGATTTCCCTCACCGTCATTTTGGGTTGAGGGTCCAAACGCACCTAAAATCACAATTGGTCCCCAATCAGGTGGCTTTCTCTCCTGTCAGAGAATGACCCTTTCTCCCTTGCGAACTCACGTTGCCGCGTCCCTTTTTCCGGGATCCTCCCATTTTCTGGCGGGTGAGCAAGTGTAATATAGTCCTTTCCCCATACTCTCCACGGAAAAATATTGCATTGCAAACAGGGGGGTCTTTTTGCCACCTCTTGCGAGAGAAAAAAAACGCGACCCCCTCAAAGAGCAATCCTTCACTTCGAAGGAGTCGATCATTCCACGAAACTTGGCAAAAAGACCTTCCTGGTTAGCCAGTTGCCGTTTTTTTCCATCTACTTTACCCCAAAAACCGATGGCAACAGTGACTGAAAAAAGCGATCGCAACTTGGCAAAAAGACGGCCATTGATTGCAGACCCCTTGCCATTTCAATCCTCGACCGGTCTTCCCGGCATGGAACCAACCCCATTTCAAGGGCCCCCGGCGGAAAATTGTATCTTAGGGGTCCATTGGGTCGGGAAACCGTCCAGAGGGTTGCGGGCTTGGCCTCTCGCTTGAGACCCTGAAACACGGGCTGAGTTGCAACCCAAAAAGAAGGTTGGTGAATTCTTCGGACAAACTACCAACAAGAATTGGAATTCACAACCCGCAGTTTTGGGTTGGAATAATACTATAACTTATAACCCCAGTTTGAGTTGGTATTTTGAGGGTCCAGGCAGTTTCTTCAAGGAAGGCCCGAAGCAAAAGCCAACAGGGCAAAAGAGGGATAACCCACAAAAGAAAACTCCAGACCCACAGCTACTTTTGCTTTTTGGAGCCGGTAGAGGTGTTGCTTTTTCTCCTGCGGGGAGTTGTCCTCGTTTGGAGCCAGTAAAACAAAACTAGGTCCTCCAGTAGAGAGGTTAGAATAAGGGTCCCGATTTTTTTCTGTAGTCTATTTGAGTAGGGGAACCCTCCCCCCAAAAAGGGGAGAGAAGGGCACCTACCTGGGCCACCTAGAAAAAACAACTCTAAAGCGAGCTGCTCCAAGACCGGCACACGAGCAATCGTGTCCCAGTGGCCCACTGCATCGTGCGGCAAAAGAATGGGAACCCTTGTTGAGATTGAACTCCGTTTTGATTTGGGACCCTCCAAACAAAAACGTTAGGTATGTGTTTTTTTTCAGGGCGCCCTTTTCACCCTGGCTGGGCGACGAAACAGGGGGAACAAAAAAACATTTGGAGGATCCCCCTACTTAAACCCATACCCATTTGCAAGGGGTGTCACTGCCGCTCCGAACTGCGGACGAGGTGCCTCCCATCTGGAAGCCGGTTGATGTCCTCTTCCTGAGAGTCGGGGTCGGGCAGTGTGCGGAAAGGGCCCAGGACTCATCAACTCCTATTTGACTGATTGAGGGGGATATTTTCCAATTTATGATGGAATCCCTCTCGGCTGAAGAAAGCCCACCGATGCATCCACGAGGCTTCTTGATCCAGGGTCGCCATGTTTTTTGGCGTACCAGTTCAAGTCTCCTTAACCCACTGACCATAGATTTCTCTAAGCGGCTCATAGCCATAGGCACTGACCACTTGCTTAGTACCCTACTAACTAAGATGGCCTAGGCAAAAGGGTTTGGGATGTGGATTTGCTTAGCCCTTGACTTTTCTAGCTCAGCCTTTTGCCCCAACCAAACGTCATATGCGCAATTCCTGGTTCAGAACTTGGTTTCTGAAGACCCCTCTGCAAAAAGCTTAACTTTTTGTGGGCTTAGTGGAAGCCCCCCTTGAACTCCCAAAAAGTTAAAGTCCCAAAGATCCAACCCAATAGCAGTCAAGAGAAGTACTTTACACTTTGCCCATCCAAAGACAATAAATGGCCCTCCGTCCACTGAGCTGGAACACACCAAAGGGTCCTGCAGAGGAACATCGTCTTCCAGGACCCTCCGGCCACGTTCCGTGTCACTGATGGGAGAAGCATTTTGCGAAGCTTCAAATGCAACTGCCTGGGTCGCCAGTGGCGTTTTCGTTTTTGTCCACGCACTCAAAACTCCCAAAAACCAGCAACGGTGACTGAACAAAGCCATCGCAACTTGGCTATCTAGGTGTGCTAGGAATTGCTACAAGCGCCGAACAAAAATGGTGGGCGAAATAGGTCTCTGAACCTCTTGCTAATACCCTGCTGGCTTCCTTTAGATGTGATTATGAGTGATTCTTTCACACCCAGCCGCATCCTCAGGTTGGTGTCAAGGGAGACCCAAAGGAAAACTACCTTAAGGGGTCCCCCATTGACGTCCGAGGGTCTAGAGGTGTCGGCCCTTGGACACCAGGTTTGATCACAAGGAGACCTCTCCTGTGAGGTAGAACAAATGGCCCAGACATGAGCCGCGGTCAAAGCTCCTTTTGTTCCCCTTTTGTTCGATTCACCTGTGTCTGCCCCAGCCATATTGGCGTGAGCAGGCTTAACACCATTCTCACCGGTAGCGCCGCAGACCACCTTTGGAATGGCCGATTGGGTCATGGTTCCCTTAGCAATCATGATCATGGTTATTTTCTCGGATCCTTCTCAGGATAACGCTCCCAAGCCAAGGATGGGGATGGGATTGGTCGCTTTTCACCTTCAATGGCCCGGGTACATCTGATGCTTATGCAGCATTCTTAGTGGGTCACACGGGGCTGCGTGTCTTTTTGAGGCCGTTTTTGAAGGTTGGTTCAAAAGGCCACCCAAAAAGAACCGCACTTTTTATAGTCCAAATCCCGACTTGATTCCTGAGTGGATTGGCAACAAAACGCCAGACTTCGCATTTGCTGCTAAACTGATGGGGATGGCTTGGGCCCGAGCAACTGGCACGTCCTGGATTGGGGAAAAGGCAACCAAACCAGCGATGTGTAGGTCCAGCCCAAAAACGGACGAAACTCCGCGTTGCGGAACTCGGGTCGGAAGTGAGAACATGCTCCATTACTACCACTCAACCGACGAAACCCAGTAACAACCAATTCCCTGGGCCCCCAACCCTGAAAAAGACGGGCCTGGATCGCCAGTTGCCGCTTTTTTCCATGCACTTTACCCCCAAAACCAGCAACAGTGACTGAAAAAAGCGATCGCAACTCGGCTATCTAGGGGATGTCATCCACCTAAACCAATTGGGGTCACTTAACTCCCATTGTTCAGTTGAACAAATATTGGGAGGCTTCCAATTCCAAGACCACTGGACCCGGATTTGCAAAACGAGCTGCTGGGTCCCAGGTCACCACTGAGCCATCCTCCCGGAGAGCCACGAAGGTGTAGTCGGAGGCTTGGACTTGCTGCACCCTCCTAACAGACCAAGCCCAAGGGTTTGAAAAAAAAAAAAAAAACAGGACTCGTTGGAAGTTGGCTCCAGGGTTTGCCGCTTTTTCAAGCCCAGGACTCGTTTGCTCCAGGGTTCGCCGTTTGAAACGTCTGGAAACGCAGGAAAACAAAATGTGGCAGTGATAGATTCCTCCAAACTTGCCAACACATTACTCCAGAAAACAGTTGTTTGTCCCCTGGAAACGCTGAGAAGAAACATGGCAGTGTTAGATTCTCTTTAACACCAGCAGGCAAATATTCAACGTCAGCAAATGCAAGGTATCCGCCGACATTGCTCGGCGTGTCGGATACCTAAGAGAGGATAGAGGATAACCCCCCCCCCTAACCCCCCCCCCGCCCGACGTCTATTACGTAGGTTTTTGGGGGGGGGGGGTCCCCCACGTACCGCGCGGCAATTTGATGACGTTCCACTAAACGTAGTCTTCGGGGAGCCGGTGTCGCAAAACAGGGGTCCCAGGCTCGATTCCCCCTGCCGGCTTTTTTGCTGGCTTGGGCTTCCTGCATCCTTTTGCCGAAAATCTGGCAAAACTCTGTGTTTTTGGACATCCTCTTTACGAAAACGCTAGAAAAACCGTGTGTTTTGCGGGAAATACTGGGGAGCAAAGGGGAGTGCAAGGATACATACATACATACATACAGACATACATACATACATACAGACATGCATACAGACAGACAGACCTACATACATACATACATTACATGCATACATACATACATACTTACATTACATTACATTACATTACATTACATTACATTACATTACATTACATTACATTACATTACATACATACATTACATTGCACACATTACACTACACTACATTACATACCTACATACATACATACATACATACATACATACATACATACATACATACATACATACATTACATACATACATACATTACATTACATTGCATTACATTACATTACATTACATTACATTACATGCATACATACATACACTACATACATTACATATTACATACATTACATACATTACATACATTCATACATACATACATACATACATGCACATACATACATACATACATACATACATACATACATACATACATACATACATACATACATACACACATACATACATTACATACATACATACATACATTACATACATTACATACATACATACATACATACATACATACATACATACATACATACATACATACATTACATTACATTACATTACATTACATTACATTACATTACATTACATTACATACATACATACATACATTACATTACATTACATTACATACATACATACACATTACATTACATTACATTACATTACATACAACATACATACATACATACATACATACATACATACATACATACATACATACATACATACATACATACATACATACATACATACATACATACATACATACATACATACATACATACATACATACATACATACATACATACATACATACATACATACATACATACATACATACATACATACATACATACATACATACATACATACATACATACATACATACATACATACATACATACATACATACATACATACATACATACATACATACATACATACATACATACATACATACATACATACATACATACATACATACATACATACATACATACATACATACATACATACATACATACATACATACATACATACATACATACATACATACATACATACATACATACATACATACATACATACATACATACATACATACATACATACATACATACATACATACATACATACATACATACATACATACATACATACATACATACATACATACATACATACATACATACATACATACATACATACATACATACATACATACATACATACATACATACATACATACATACATACATACATACATACATACATACATACATACATACATACATACATATACATACATACATACATACATACATACATACATACATACATACATACATACATACATACATACATTACATACATACATACATACATACATACATACATACATACATACATACATACATACATACATACATACATACATACATACATACATACATACATACATACATACATACATACATACATACATACATACATACATACATACATACATACATACATACATACATACATACATACATACATACATACATACATACATTACATACATACATACATACATACATTACATACATACATACATACATACATACATACATACATACATACATACATACATACATACATACATACATACATACATACATACATACATACATACATACATACATACATACATACATACATACATACATACATACATACATACATACATACATACATACATACATACATACATACATACATTACATACATACATACATACATACATACATACATACATACATACATACATACATACATATACATACATACATACATACATACATACATACATACATACATACATACATACATACATACATATACATACATACATACACATACATACATACATACATACATACATGCATACACATACATACATACATACGAGAGAGGGAGATTGGGGAGAGAGTGGCTTGGGGGGATGGGGAGGATGGGGAGCGGAGGGAGGGAGAGAGGACGACAGAACACACCAGGGAGACAAGGGAGAGAGGAAGAAGGAGAAAAGGGAGAGGACAATGTCGGCGGACTGAGCCGGAGGCTCTAAAGTTTGTTGTTTCCCTCTTGTTTGGCCATATGTTTTGGGCTGGTGTGCCTTTTTGGATGGCCGAAGTTCGCCAAGAAGGCCAACTTTCTTTCCCGTGGACATGGGTGTGACGAAAAAGGATTTGAACAACAACAAAAAAAAATGGACCTCCAACGTAGTGGTTTCAAGCTGTTTTCATTTAGAACCACCAAAGGTACCCCGCAAGAAAAAGACACACCCACATGGAACCCCGCGACAACAAGAAGAAACAAAACAGGGGCTGCTCGATATGTTCCCCCTTAAAGTCATCACAAGGAAAAAGCTCACCTCAAAAGCGCTTTGAAACGTGATGTGCTCCAAGCCACTTCGAGTGTGGACATGGGAACCGGGCCAAGTCTCCAAACCCATTGGCTTGAATGCAGCTTTCACATCGGAAGTTGCCTTTTCTCTGAGACGCTGAAAAGGGACAGGAGGGAAGAGCAAGGGGAGAATCAGCCTTCCCATACGTACCACAGTCTCACCTTAAACGTTAGGAGTCTAGAAGCGACCTGTTGAAAAAACTCATGCCACCCTCAAAATCTCCCTGAAAGCTGGAGCCAATGCCTTTGTCCTTGTCCTGAAAATCTTCGATGTCCCTCCATCAGGATTAAGCCATGTGGAGGGAAACGACAGCCAGGCGTTTCAATTTCTTTCTTCAACGTTGATCTCCCCCCTTTAAAAAAAAGAAAAAGAAAAAAAACCTTTAAAAAAAAACCTTACCGGCTTTCCCAAACGACAGTCGCCTCCCGTGCGGGTTGGCCAACAACTTTGCAGTGGTAACTCGGAAGGATTGCCTTCGGCCGAAGGCGATCCCCGCGCCGCGCGCCCTCTCAGCTCCCAAGCCCCGCGCTTTTGAACTCGGAAATCGAATCCGCGCTTTTGGAATGGGGCCGAAGCAAAAAACCAACGAGCGGGCCCGAGCGGGTGTGGTTTTTTTGCACGGGGTTTGTTCGAACCAAATGGCGCGTTTCCAACCACCGCTGCTTTTCGGACAGGGGAGAAACAGGTGTTTTTTGGGGGCGATTGGTAGCTGCATGCTGGTTGTTTTTGCTGCATCGTGATTGGCTGTTTGGACCCAGTGAAAAAGGACCGAAAGAACGTGACCTCGTTTTGCCGAGTGAGCTGGGGGACGACACCCATGAGAGAAAGGCCTGCGTTTGTTGCATTAAAGGGACCCTCAAAAGAATCACGAAAGAAAGGCATCACTTCGTCGCTGCTCTGGGACCTGGCAAGTTTACCCATGAGTCATACTAAGCCAAGGAAAAGAACCCTAAGCATCAGAAAGGACCCGTTCAAGCAGATCTTAGGGACCTCCATTGGTTGGGCCAAGAGCCTTTATTGGGACAAGATATCAAAACGGTCGGAGAGCCATGACAAAGAGAACACCTGGACCCTCAAACTACCCACACTCTCATCTTGCGGCCAACTCCATGTTTTTTAGGGTAGTCTGAGGCTCCAGGTACCTAAAAGTACCCCCAAAAAAGCTCCATCCATCCAAACCCCCCATGCGAATGGCAGTCCTAAGGCGCGGCAAGATCCGGCTCAAGTCTCCTCGGGTCAAAGGAATTCCGCGTGAGGCGAACGACGAAAACATCAATACATGTACACCTAGGTCCTCCAGGTTTGAGAGGATTGAATAAGGGTACCAACCTTGCCCTCCCCCAAAAAAGAAACGGTAAAAGGGCACTACTGGGAGACCTAGACACTTAGGAGCCCCTTGGACCCTTGGAAAAATATGAAAGCGCCTTTGACCCTTTCCAAGACCTCAAATCAGTCTTGGACCCTGCAGAGCTGGAATCTCGGAAAACCCCCAGCCAAGCCTCTCCTTGCACCCCAAAAAAACGCCGCTTCTGCTTGTTGGGCGCGCGCTCTTTCCAACGTGGAGTATTAAGTACGGCCCCACAGCCCCCCCGCCCATTTTTGGTCCAATGCCCAAAGCCTCCCGGATTGGCCCGGGAGTGGCTCCGGGATTGGCCCCTCACTCTGGCGTGGTTTCTTTCTTTTTTTTTTCTGATTGAATGGGTTCAGGATCCCAAGACCTTACACATGAGGGCCTTTGACCCCGACAGTCCCCAAATAACAGGGTCTTGAGACCCTAGGGTGGGTTTACCGCAAAAATGACAGCTAATTGCATGAGTTCTCTTTGGATGGTAACTGGAAACCTGGACAGTGGACACTGGAAGAGTTTTTGCCTGCCTCTATTTGCTGGCTTGGATTGGTGGTTTGGCGGTTAAGGGCCGGTGTCCCATTTACCCTCTACCAGAATTAGGGGGTCAAACCCAAACCACAAATCCAACCCACAAACTAAGGGTTTCCTGAGAGTTGACCTTTTGGAAGAACCAAACAACAGAGCAATAGCGACCGTAAACCCAGCTTCATGGAAGATGACCTGATTTGTTTTTCACTTGGAGTCCCGTTCGGAGGTTTCTCAACATTGGCCAACAATTGTTGGTTGTCCTTTTCGAGCTTGTAACCAGCCCGCTAAGCAACCCGGAAACCCGGTTTCCGAAAGTAAACGTTCACCCCCGGCAATTCTCACCGAAAACCGTCCTGTCCGCCAATGGGACAAATGGCATCTGTAAGGACACCAAAGTTCACCGGCCTACGTTTTGCCCAGACACGCAAGTTCCTATTATATATGTGAACCCTTCAAATTCATCTGAAACATGGGTTCTGGCCCCCCAAAATGGGGTGAATTCCCTTTTTCTGGGTTGTTTGAGGATTCAGGTAGCCACCAAAGGCAGCAGCAAGCCCAAGAACATGGACAAAAGCCAAGACGGACAAGCAACTTTACTCTTGCCGCACTCGGCTTCAGGTAGCAATTGGGGTGCGAACCTTCATGGAGACTGTGGGGGACATCGGAACTCGGTCGTCGGCAGGGTGTCAAGCACTTGCGTTCGGTGGTCCTGTAAGCATCCGCATCCAGCAGCCACGCGCGAGGTGTTTTTGTTTAACTCATTTTTGCAGGCATACTTTTTCAAAGGGAGCGAACAACAAATGGGTCTCCGTAATTCAAATGTTGTCGTGCCTGGACCCTGAAACTACCTATTAAAGAAAGATATGTCATGCCATTTTGGGGCAACTCGCGCCATTTTTCTGGGTCTTCTGAGGGTCCAGGTATGGTGGATGCCCTAAAACTTGCCCAAGCAAACCAACCAGACACCAAGGGAACTTGGATTGTTTGCAACCAACCAGACACCAAGCAAACCAACCAAACCAACCAGACACCAAGGGAACTTGGGAACTTGTTTGCAACTTGTTCCCTTGCACTAGGGCCATCCGCAGGTGTCCATGTTTTAGGGTTTGGTTAGGTCTCCGCGAGTTTCGATCGATTTGCTGCCCCAAGGATCCCCAGCCCTAGGATCCGAAGACCTTGACCTTTGAAAGGACCACAAACAATAGCTAGGTTAGAGCCAGATTTGAGAGGTTAGAATCAGATTGCTAGAATAAGGGTACCAACTTTTCTGTAGTCTATTTGAGTAGGAGAACCCTCCCAACCAAAGGAACGGAAAGAGTTGGCACCTAGCTGGACCTAGAAATTGGGTCTTGGGACCCTAGGGCAGCCGAGACTCATCTGGGTCACCGTCGACCCAGAACCATGTTAAGAACTAAGAAGGCGGATATCCGCAGCTATTTATGGCAAGGGGATCGTCCCTTACTAACCTTCACTTACCCGGGTTTTGAGCACGTGGCACATCGAACTTCCAAAAGCCCCCTGAAAGCCCCCAAAAGCAAAAAAACAAAAACGACCACCCAGATGCTCGAGGGGGTGTGCAATGCACACCCCGGCCCTGCGCATTGCACACCCCGTGACTTGCATACGAAATTGTGGGGTGTCAGGGGTCCTCGCTGATTTTTTGGGGGGTGTCGCTAGCACGCCCCGGAGACTCAAGGCTTCTGCTTTGCGCACTGCAACCTGCAATGACGATAAATCCTTGCACGCAGCACGGCCGAATCTGCAATTTTGCTGGTGCTCCCATGCGCTAACTGCTGAAGACCCGCCTGCGTCATTGACATAGCATTGGATCAAAAAGCTGGGTCAGTGTTTGGTGGTTCGCGTTTCCAAATGCATTGGAGTATGCATTCCATTCTTCTCACTTTCCCGCAGCCGCGATTTTTGGTGCAAGACAATTGCTAGACAAAGACAACGCGAACCAGCCCAATGGCTGCTCGGCGTTATCAAGCGCAAACCACCCAAGCTCGTTCAAAACGCCACATGGCAAGGACACTATAAGCGCATTCTGGTCGGCCAAACTCGCAGCTTGCAACCGCTTTGCTGGCATTTGGATGCAACCACTGCACCTACCGCGTGAACAAAAGGGCGCCAGTTGCAGATGGCTCTTTGCGAGAACTGTGACGGGCCAGGCTCAGACACTCAGGGGCTCGCTTTCCAGCTCAGAGGCCTCAAGCAAGGAAGCAGACATGAGAATTTGCGTGCTCACAAACATTTCGAAACATGAGCCGTCAAGCGCTTCTGCTTCTTTCTCGCAGCAGGCATCACCATGGTTTCGAAAAGGTTCCGAGCAAGGCGCTTACGCTTGGGAAGAGTCCAAGCGAGACCTCAAGAGTAAAGCCGGCGTTAGGCGCCCACTTGAATCTCGAGTGCGTTTCGATCAGGAAACGCAGTTGTAGCCGTCAATGACAGTTGCAGCCATGGAATGGAATTCCCCGCCTTTGTGGGCAATGTCGTTGCCGAATTCGTCCATATTTGCTTGAGTAATTATGACGTATGGTTGCTTTGACAACTGGAGAGAGCTTCTGCAAAGCAGGTGTGAACATGAATAAACTCTTGTGGGTTTCGAAGGGTTTCCAAACAAGAGAATAAATACTTTGGGGAACAAAAACCACACCGTGCAGGATTTGTACCACAGCAAAAACGGCAGGCACGATGCATTTACGGGCTCTGGAGGCTGTCGGCACACGGTGAATCATCTTGCGGCTGATGCTGGCAAGTCCCATGGTTGACATTGGCAGCTCTAAAGACGAATAATGCTTTTCTGGCTTACCCTAAGTGGAGCCCTTGGACCTGCAACTTGAGGCTATGCAGCTTTCTGCAAAGCAGTGACAGGTTCGCGAAATCAAGCTGGCGCAGCCACTTTGAGCCATTTCTTGTTCGCAACCCGAGCACCGGATTCCAATTCCGTCGGATTGAGCGTGAAAGGGGGTGCCGAAACTCTGAGATTTGACGCCCCGAGCGTCGGATTCCGTCGGTTTCCGTCGGTTTCCGTCGGATTGAACGTCAAGGGGTGTCGAAACTAAGAGATTTGACGCCCCGAGCGTCGGATTCCGTCGGATTCCGTCGGTTTCCGTCGGATTGAACGTCAAGGGGGTGTCGAAACTAAGAGATTTGACGCCCCGAGCGTCGGATTCTGTCGGATTGGGCGTCGGATTCCTTTAACCAATATTGGGACATCGATTGCTTCAGGTTTGTTTTGGTTTTGGAGCCTGGGTTCTCACCTTCAACATGCCGGACCCCCTCGATGTTTACAGGCGCTCTTCCAACGGAAATTGCAACTTACAGGTTGGGCCATCACGCATGTTGATAGATATGGGCACACTGGGAAACCCTTTGAAACAAAGGGCAGTACAGTGAACACATCGTGCGTGGGCTGCATTTGCTCAAGCTGACAATTTACACTGCAATCGGTTCAGCTTTTGTTTTTTTCGGGAGTACAGGCCGGAAAGGGCGCCGATTTCGCCATGCCACAATAAATTTCGTTTGCACACCTCTTGCCAGTTGTAAAAAAGGCAACCACATGTCACAGAGACAAAGCATGTGGGACGTCGAATTCAGCGGACTTGAAAGGGCGACACGTACCTATCTGTCATTGACGGCTGCAACTGCATTTCCTGATCGAAACGCACTCGAGATTCAAGCGGGCGCCTAACGTCGGCTTTACTCTTGAGGTCTCGCTTGGAATCTTCCCAAGCGTAAGCGCCTTGCTCGGAACCTTTTCGAAACCATCGTGATGCCTGCTGCGAGAAAGAAGCAGAAGCGCTTGACGGCTCATGTTTCGAAATGTTTGTGAGCACGCAAATTCTCATGTCTGCTTCCTTGCTTGAGGCCTCTCTTCCGTTTCCCCAGCCCTGAGCTGGAAAGCGAGCCCCTGAGTGTCTGAGCCTGGCCCGTCACAGTTCTCGCAAAGAGCCATCTGCAACTGGCGCCCTTTTGTTCACGCAGTAGGGCGGTAGGTTGACGTAATGCGTTTTTCGAGAAAGGCGCGGAGGTTGCACGCAGAAGCTAGCAAGGCGTTAGCAAGCTGCGAGGCGGCCGGTTTGGCCGACCAAGATGCAGTCATCTCTTTCACCAGTGTCATGACCCTGCGTCGTGTTGCGCGTGCTTGGGTGGCTTGCGCTTGACAACGGCGTTTAGCTCTTGGGCTGGTTGGCTTTGCCTTTTTTTAGCAATTTCCTTGCACCAAAAATTGTGGCTGCGGGAAAGTAAGAAGAATGAAATGCATACTCCAGTGTATTTGGAAACGCGAACCATCAAAAACTGACCCAGCTTTTTGATGAAGCCCGCAAATGCTATGTAAAGGACGCAGGAGTGTCTTCAGCAGTTAAAGCATGGAAGTACCAGCTCAATTGCAGATTCTATGCCCGGGCCGTGCTGCGTGCCATCGTGCGCGGCAGGGCTTGGCAAAAGCAACATGCTGGGAGGCTACCCTCGGCATCCTGGTGATGCCGAACAACATTAACAATGACCCCTGATGCAATGTGCAGGTGTGTAATGGGGTGCGGCCGGGATGTGTTTTGCACACACCCTCCTGCCACTGAGAAAAGTAAGCATGGCAAAGTGGAATCTCAGTGTGGCGCCCCGAATAATTCATTTGACGCCCCGCGACGCCCCGCGACACCCCGACGCCCCAAAATCGAATCGTGAGCGTCTGGGCAGTTGAAAAGAACCATGCTTTTTCAAGACTGGGCCAGGAATCCACCGTTCCAAGTTTTGGTTGCCCCGGCGCCCCACATCCGGCCCCGAGCCTTAGCCGAGCCCCGAGCCCCGTGGAGCCCCGAGCGAGCCGTGGGAGCCGTTGCCAAGTCTCTGCCGAAGAAGGCGCTGAAGCCCCAGGTCACCACACGGCCATCCTGTCAGACCCTCGTGGGACTTTCTTTTTCGGCCCCAAAACATGACTTGGACCCGTGACCATCATACCTAGAGTCTCCCTCTGACCCCTGAACAATGGTTGGTCATTACTTGAAATAATGGGGTCATCATACCTACCTGGAGTCTCCTTCTGACCCTGAAAAAAAAAGGGTCAATGACCAACCATTATCTTTTCGGGTAATGACCAACCATGTTTTAAGGGTCACGGAGACTCCAGGTAGAGTCTCCTTCTGACCCCTGAAAAATGGTTGGTCACTCGAAATAATGGTTGGTCATGATCCCATTTTTAAAGAGTCATGGAGAGTCCAGGTACCACTTATTGTGGGGAAGCTGGTTTTTCAAGTTGCGTCTTTTGTTTACGTACCACAAGTATTGGTTCTCAAACCTTGGGAAACGTGTCCTGTTACGTCGTTGTTGGGGTATTGACCCTACAACCTTGGAGAATTTGCCTAGATAGCCAAGTTGCTGCTTGTTTCAGCCACTGTTGCTGGTTTTTGGGGTTTTGAGTGCATGGAAAAAAGCGATCGCCACTGGCGATCCAGGTAGTTTGAGGGTCTAGGTAGACTCACTTGCCCAAAGGATCTGGGAATAAACAACTAGGCTTGTGGAACTTTGACCAAATATGGACCAAACCTGGTACCAATAAAAAAGGGAATTCACCTCATAGTTTCAGGGCAATGCACCCAACCGTTAAGGGTATTTCGAGGGTCCAGTTATGTTGCATCTCGTCTCAAAAGGACCGCTAAGTAAAATTGCTCTCAATCCTGTGGGAAATAAAAAACACAAAGCCAACCATAAACCAACGAGTTAAGACAAGATTTGGTCATGATTCTGGGGGCAAACGATTACTCCTCTGCAAATTCACCGGAACCCAAGAAACTGAGTTCTCAAGAGGAGTCGCCTCTAGGAACGATGCTCTTTGGTGGGTCCATTTGGTGGGTCCATTTTAACCTGCGGGGGTGTAGTAAGATTTAGCCCCTTTGCTTCACTTGGATGGCCACCCCATTTCAGCCACCATTTGGCTCGGGTTAACAAAAGATGAGGGTGTCACGCTGATGGACTCAGGGGTCGAAAATGAGCCTTGCGTAGACAACCAATGACCAATAAGAAAGCGAATCCGGAACCCAAACTCGTCCATCCACGCAAAGTCCTTCCAGCAAATACTCCATGAAGTGGGAAATCGCAACAACACACTCAAGCGTGGGACCTCGTGGCAACAACTTGATGGCTTAGTTAACCCTGATCGTATTCAGCAAAGCAACACACATCGCGGTCTTTTGAGGGGTTGGGTGCAAAAACCAGCAGCGGCGAAAGGGAATTGGAAAGGGGAAGCCCTGGCGGTCCACGCCTGATGTTTTGTGCTCTTGCTTCCTTGCACCTCGCCTGTGTTGTGCAGCATTAGCCTGTGCTTTGCGTCAACATTATTTGATGCATGACTCATGCTGTTACACTGTTGCCACCGCTAGATTCTACAAAGCCAGTTCAACCCCAACATGTCTTGACTAAAGACAGTTTTGGCATGAACATATCTGTTGTCTACGCCAAAATAGCGTAAAATCACCGTGAAACGGTACTAGAATTGTTCAATGATACCGGCTGAGCTTGGACGAACATGCGCCTAGCAAAAAACAAACCATGCCTTTCACGGAAAACACTCACAACAAACACAAAAAGCCCTTCGAAGCCCGGGGGAAGTGCTCCTTGACTTGATGGTCGAAAGGCGAAAAAGCAGAGTGCATGCGCCACTACTAGACCAGGCTCATGAGCCCCCCAACCCAGAAGTGGCTGGTAATACTCTTGCCAAATGGGGTCGAAAGAAGTCGCCGGGAAAACATAAACCGTCCCCTGGCGTTCCGTTACCAGCATTAAAACAATGGTTGGGTTCTTATAACCACTATTGTTTACCGGTCAGGATGATCACCATCCAAATTCTGGCCATTCTTTTAAAGGGGGCGCTCGGAACCCTAGAGCGTCTATTACTATTGACTAACCGCAAAATTCTGGGGTGCAATCCCTTCTTCAGGGTAGTTTGAGGGTGCAGGTGCTTGCCTTGTTTGCAATATGTTCAGGGAATCCACCTAACCTATACATGTGGCTGTGGCTCAAAAACATGTACCCAAAACGGCCCCTGGGTAAATGGAAACAAACACCAAAACCTGCGTCACCCTACCTCCTAAACTTTGAGCCCATGTCAAACTAGTTCAAGTAAGGGAGCCGGGGAGCCAAACGTGCGAATTTCCGGATGTTACTAACAGCTCACTCAGTTTTTCCCCACAATCTGGGCTGCCCTTGTGATTTCAACACATGGATCGGCGAAAGCCTGGCTTTTGGGGACCCCAAAGCGGTCTGACAGTTTGTCAACCATATTGCTGGGGTGTCGCGGTTGCATGTCGGCCTCCATTTGCTCAAGTCCCCTGGAAAAAAATATAAACATATTTCCAGTAGTGATAAATTCCCTTTGAAACCAACAGGGGAAAATAAAACATGTATTCTTACTCAAATGGAAGCAGAGGCATTTTTAAACACATGTACCTTGTCAAGCATTCAGGCCATGAGGTTAATCGGACAAATGGAAGTCGGCGGGCTCGGCTTGGCTTGCGCCTGGCGCACCGCGGCGAAGCCGTGCTCCGTGGCCGAGATCTGCGCCACCTGCGTCTGCCGGGCTGACGGGGAGGGGTTGGAACCAGGTGATGCATTCCCAGCGTGGGGGGTGGCTTGCTGGATCCACCTGGAGTCTCCATGACCCCTAGAAAAAGGGGTGAATGACCCGAATCTTAATTTTGGGTAATGACCAACCATTTTTAAAGGAGCCACTTTTGGACGGGCCCAAACCACCCCGATTCATAAAAACCTGGTTTGTTGGACAAATATGGGGTCCACTACTTTTCATGTCAAGAAAGATCGAACATCTGGGGTCAACGGCTTTTCATGCCAGCTGGACCGCCACACAAAAATCGCTGTAAAAACAAAAACTGGGCTGTCCTCAGATCCCCCACTAAAAGTGAACAACTTTTAGTGGGTGAAACGGAGATCCAACAACTAAACACTAAAAGTTGCTAAAAATCTCAGGAACTGGATGGCTGGGCTTGCCACCAAGGAACCTGGTCAATAAGATCAGTGAATTTTGTGGATGGCCGCCTGCACCACTTGAGATGGAGAAAAAAAACACCACAAAAAAAGCTTAAACCAAAAAAAACCATCGCCTGGGTGAGCTGCTTCTGGACCCGTCGGCTGTCCCCTCCGAACTCGGGGTCACCCCAGGTGATCACCGTCCCGTCGCCGCCTGCAGCTCGCGAGGTCTACGCTCGGCTCGTGGCGAGTTCTACGCGCGGATGCGTTGCGCCCGTTGCGCACGGGACTTGCGGACGCTTCACGACTCCTAAGGCGTTTACCACCAACAAAAAGGGAAAGGGGATGGCCCAAAGAAAGAGTTATACAGGAAGGACCCCTCATGAAAGGTGAGTTTTGGATTTTGTAGTTGTTGAGAATATGTTTCTTTGATACTCAAAGCACCCTCAAGCTAAGTATTCCTTAAAAAAAGAAAGAGAAACTCATGGTGGGGAAAAGCTGATGTTTGTCCAACTAGCCAAAGGGGAACACAGGGACCCTGCAGTCGCAGGGACCCTCTCACCCTACAATGACCTCCACTAGTAAGTTCTAATGTCCCTAGGCCTGCTATGTTCACCCTGTTGGGTTGGTTGGTCTTAAAGGCCAACCCACCCCGACAAAAAGAGGAACCTGGACCCTGAATCTACTCATGAAACATGGAATTCACCAACCATATTTGTGGGGCAATACACGCATATTTAAGGGTATTTTGAGGGTCCAGGAACACAGGAGCACAAATGGAGGTATGAGTCTAATATGAGGGGCTGAACTGGGTTGCTCCAGACACCGTGAGCAAAGGCTCTCACCCTGTTGTAAAATTTTGTGGGGAAAACCCATTTGCATGCAGCAGGTCTAAGGGCGATTCCGTCGCACCAACGACATGTGAAGAATTGCAAACATGCTGCCCGGTTATGACACACTGTCGCCAACACCGTGCTCTGATTCTAAAGGCTCTGATAGTACCTCAAGATCTTCAGTGGCCATGGGTCAAAATCCCGTACCCCCAGTGAACATCCCAATCCCCACTAAAATTCCGACTAAAATGGGTGGTGCACCACCCCAAAATGGTGCAAGGTTACCTCAAGCCTACCTTGACACCCTACTGATTAGCCCAGACCCCCAGTGGCCGGCCATGGACAACAAGACCCTTCTAGGTGATGATCAAGCAGGCTTTCCTTCCCAAGCCAGGTGAAGGAATTCACTGGTTCCAGCTCGGTTTCAGACCTTCGGACCTCCAGTTTTCCGCAGGGCTTGGCCCAAAGCGCTGGGCGGTTCGGGCCATAGGCCTGTTGTTGTGTTTTCTTTTTCGGGGGGCAGGTGCTCAGGGCGCGTGGGAACCTCCTTTTTGGGCCCTTTGAAAACCATTGAATGCATTTGGAGCAGGCAAACCCGCACTCACGAAAGCGACCATGTCCATTCCCTGTAAACGATGAAAAAGGGTACACACCCACACACACCTGGCTACAGGAGGAATAGCTATCATGGATATCATGCATATGCTCCAGACCTTGGGGCGAAGGGCAACCCTCAGGGTCCCGCAGATGCTTAACTAGGTCCTCCAGTAGTTTGAGAGGTTGGAATAAGTTGGCACCCTCCCTGAAAAAAGGGGAGAGAAGGGCACTACTGGAGGACCCAGTTGAGGGAATTTTGAGGGTCCAGAAACACAGGATCACCGATGGAGGTACTGTGGATCGACGAAATCCATTTCGCACCACAGAAACCTAACGGAATGATTCGATTCCCCTGCAACTACCAACAAACAGTGGACTTTGTTGGTTTGAAAGCGGTGCGAAATGGATTTCGCAACCATCCACAGTATCAGTCGAGTATGCGGAGCTGAACTGGGTTGCTCGAGGCCGCCGGGAGCACACCCGGTAGGTTTCGCAGGCCCAAGCTTTTGAGGGTGCAGGAGGGGTACTCGGTTTTTCAGGGAACCTGCATGGTCGAAAAAGGGAGCCCTTTTTGGGTGGACCATGTTTAGCAGCGTAGAGCCCCGAAACGACATATTCTTCGCATATTTGGCCCCATTTTTCCCGGTAAGGTTGCTATTTTCGGTCATTTGCCTTAAGTGCGCGTAGTATTTGGCCGCATAAAATCCGTATTTGCTCGATAAAATGTGGAAAAAAGGCGAAAGAAAAACCGTCTTTGGCCGCATGACCCCATTCTTTTGGGGGCAAAGCCTTTGTACCGAAAAAAAGACGCGGTGTTTTGCGGCCCCAGGAGGGAACCTTTAAACGGCGCATTTCTCTCGTTGCTGAACCGCCCGGAGTCTCCTTCCATGACCCGAAATAAACATGGGCCCATGACCCGGAGTCAGAAGGAGACTCCGGGTTTCCTCTATTCGGGAATGGGTTCATTCCCACATGAGCACCAAGGTTAAAAGGGGGTCCCTTAAAAGGACAGGCCTCAAAAGCAAACCACCGGGGTACCCTTAAAGGAACATGACCCTTAAGAAATTGGGTCATGACCCAAAAACAAATGGTCATTGGCCCATTTTTATTTCGGGTCATGGACACTGTCTAGGTCCTCCAGTAGAGAGGATTGAATAAGGGTACCCTTTTCTCTGTAGTCAATTTTAGTAGGGGAACCCTCCCGAAAAAAAGAAACGGTAAAAGGGCACTACTGGGGGACCTAGCTGTAGGTGGGGGGTCTTTCGCCTGGAAAGTCGACACGTCATCTTGGCGGATCGAGCCGCGTATCGCCGCGAAGGCGGCCCCGCAGGCGGCGATCTGCCGCACGCCGTGCAGCTGGTGCTGCACCTGGCTGCTGTCACCTTAGCCGGATGGCTTCCCATGGCTTCAAAGTGGTGCCGGATTTCGTTCATCCACAGTATGTCCCATGGGCCCGAAGCAACGCCCAGCATGCACGACCCCCAAAATGGCGTTGGGTTTGCTTGGAATCCAAGTTGAGAAGTTCAGAAGCCCTACCAAGTGCTGGGAAATACAACGGCCCCTGCCTATATAGGTGTTCTATAAAGATGGCACTGGTAAATGAGAACCAAACTGAAACCAGAACCCGTCTGTCTGGGTATCCGTTTTGGGATGGCTGAGGGAAGCAAGTGGAAAGCAAACACCAATTTTTAATAATCCTTCAAGAAACTCCTGTTCAAGCATGATCCAGAAGGGACACCATGGCCGTGCGCGCAAAAGTTCTTTCACCATACCCAGTGAATCCATTTATAGGTAACCCAGGGCTTTCCAGCCGATATGAAAGCCAAAAGTTGAACAATGGATCCCTAGCGTACCTACACTCTTTTTGCGAACGGAAGCGAAGCTGGGATGCTTACAACCCCATTGGCCCTTACTTTTGTCACCTTGACATCCAAGTACCACCCCAGGCTTGGGGAGTGAGAGAGTCCCTGAAGGTGAGAGAGTCTCTTCACTAGAGGAACAAATAACAACCTTTCTCTCTCCCGCTGGAACGGATGTGTGTTAAACCAAACACTTCGGAGCCCAAATGAGCGGTTTCCCTCCCACAAAGAAACCAACCTGAAAAGGGTAGCCCCCCAAGAAAAACAATGCACACACACCTGGACCCTCATGCAAACTCGCCCTGTTTCGCTCCAAAAAGGGCACCTGCAGTAGATGCCTCAAATATTGCAAGTAGGGAACAAGTTGGAAACCCCGAAATCCAATTACTTTAGGCCAACACCCCCACCCACACCCCCACCCACACCCCCACCCACACCCCCACCCACACCCCCACCCACACCCCCACCCACACCCCCGTGGCCCGCACGGAAACGACATGCCGCGGACGCTTGAAGCCTCCGAAACCCTGAAAGCTGCCCCGAACCAACCCGGTCGAGCCTATCCTATCGACCCCATAGCAAAACCAGCTGGGGAAAAAGGGCACCATCCATATGATTGGTTTACAAGGGCAATATGGGTATGGGTCAAAGTTTTGAACCGCCAGAAAACCGCGGGTTTTCCATGCTTCCCACCTAAGGGCAACCCATTTTGGGCTTACCCACTATTTTTGACCAGCCATATGGCCATGGGTCAAAATCACGTACCCCCAGTGAACATCCCAATCCCCAGGTGAAGTCACCCCCCAAATGGGATCAACCAAAACGGTTTTGACCCTCCAGGCCGCCGGGGGAAAAAAACATCAAAACCGCCTCGCTGGCGAGGCGCCGCCCGCCTGGGGCCCGCCCCAGCAGACCACGGCGCCGTCGGTTTGCAAAGCGGCGAAGGCGCCGCTGCGGGTGGCCTGGATGGCCTGCACCGGGCGCTGAATCGCCCGCGCCTCGGAAGGAGAGGCGGCCAGAAGCCGCAGGCGGTTTAGAGCGGTTTGGGGCGAGAGGCGAGGCGCGTGTTTTTCTTCTTCTTTTTTGCTCTCCTTTGTCCTGTTTGTGTTTTTTGGCATTTTGTTTTTGCTTTTTTGCGTTTCATTTGTTTTCCGTTTTTGGGAGGTGCACGTGAGGTAAGCAGTGGAAAAAACCATACCTGGAGTCTCCTGCTGACCCTTAAAAAATGGGCCCATGACCGTTTTGATATTGCGTGTAGCGGGTAGTTGAACACCCCCTTCGTTGGTATTTAAGGGAACCCGCAAGGAAACTGAGAAGCATCAGGGGATCGATTCCTGCTTCGAGATCTGGGTATGATGGTTTGTTCGGGAATCCCGGACAGCACTTCGGGGATTCATGCCCAGCTCCCGTGTCTTGTTTGGGCCGCTGAGGCTCGGTACCTTTTGTTGGGGGATGGGCCTTGAAGGACAACAGCCAAAAGGACAGGCTGCTTTTGATTGTGAGGCAAGCCCATTTCAACGGGGAGGGACCGATTTACCAGGGTGTGTTTGTGAGTTGGGCTTTACGTTCCCTGTTCTGTCTCAAAGGGAACCCCAAGACAAGGATGATCCCAAAAGATAAACAATTTCTGATTGGTGGGTTGGATTGGTGGCGTGCGGGTTCGGAGTAAAGCACAGCTTGCTCTACGAGCACCGAGTTTTCATCTGGAATCCCAACCAATTTAAACCGCTGAGTGAGGGTTTCCTGAAACAACACCACAAGCTAACAAACCAAACCAAACACCGAGCAACGGAATCCAAACAAACCAAATCCAAAACCAAAAAACACCGTAACACCGAATTCCCAAATCCGACTCCAAAGCATCAAGCCAAATCAGCCAACATAACCCCGCAACAAACAAACCTGCCTGCACCCTCACAATACCCTGAGACACATGTGTCATCGCAACCCAAGACTATGGTTGGTGAGTTCCCCCTCTTTTTTTGCAGTTTCTGGACTGCCCTCAGGTCCCCCGCGAAAAGTTTCTTTCACTTTTAGTGGGTTAAAAGGCGAAAAGGCTGAGGGGATGGCTGGGAGCCACCAAGCTTGGTGTGGCTCAAAACTTGCAGGTGGTCTTTGTTTCCAGAGGGCCCCAAACATGGGTTCCACGTTTTTGAGCCAGAGCCAAGTTTGAGGTTGGGCTCGCGCCGCGCGGCTTTGGAATTGATCGAGCCGAGCGTCTCTTTCTGGCTCCAGGTGCCCTCCGAAATCTGGGTCGCCCCAGGCCACAACAGAGCCGTCCTGAGAACCGTCGCTCCGACCGAAGCCTGAGCCCCAAATTGGGAACTTGGATGTTGGAACCTCAAACTACCCTTAAAACAAGGGAAACCGCCAACCATAGTTTTGGGTTGCAATTTTGCGTTGGACTTTTGCAAATTGGTCCAGGTTCAAACTACGTCAGGTAGATTCTAAACCATGGCTATACCCCGGCTACCCCAACTATAAGCTTGGTTAGAAGCTGCTTGCTCCGTGAAACATCCAAGCTGTGTTCGATTGGTTCATAGGAAGCGACCTGGATTTTTGTTTCTTTGAACCAAACATGGGGTGACCCCAAAACAGAAAACTCCAGGGTTCCCTTGGATTTGGCCTTGCTCTAAGTCCAAAAACCGTGCACACCACAGGTCCAGGCGATTCGCCAATTTTTTTTTTTTTTTTTTTTTTTTTTTTTTTTTTTTTTTTTTTTTTTTTTTTTCTTTTTTTTTTCGGTAAGGCAAACCCACCAATCTGGGGTTCAAACCGTTATCGAAACAATGGGGGGTTCATATAACCACAGCATTTTGTCTTAGCATTCTCATCATCCAAAGGGCTTGAACCCTAAAAATCGTGTGTAACATACAGCGTGGCTTACCTGGAAGCACTGGCAACCATGGACCACTTACCTCACGCACCCCACTTCAAAGCGCTGCATGGTTTGCTTAAGGGACTCAGATCCTATATAAGGGAATAGGGATCTGAGTTCCATGACCAACGTGAGGCGGAGGGCGACGGCGCGACGGCAAGGGCGCTAGAGGGCATGCAGTTTGGCAGGTGCTGTTTTGGGTGTGTTCAGGTGCTGCTTTGGGGTGCTATTGTGCTGGCAACGCTGCGAGCGCATTGTTGCTTGGTTGACGGCCGGGTGCTTGGCTGGCGCCGGCACAGGCGCGTTTGCGCGAGATTGATGGACGGCAGGGCTAGAGGAGCGCAGCTTGGGGTGCTTCTGGGATTCCTTCAAGAAACAGAACACCCATCCCGAAGACACCTCCCGGAGTTTCAACAATTCTGCCAAACCTGTGAAGCCGTTTTGTTTTTTCCCGAGAAAACAACTGTTGTTCATAAAACAACCTTCTTCCAAATTTCGACCTTTTTTGGAGTTTCGTGGGCGAGTTCGTCTGTTTCATTCTCCACGAGCCACGTTGACCAGGCTTCGGCTCGGTTCAGCGCACCTAGCTCAGCAGTTCCAACCGATTTTCCAGCATTGACTTGCGAAATCAATGATCCTAGACTCTCCATGACCCTTTGAAAATGAGGTCACGACCACTTTCTTTTGGTAACTAGGTGTAGTCTATTTTAGTAGGGAAACCCTCCCCCAAGAAAGGCTAAAAGGGCACTGGGGGACCTATGTAATGACACCCCACTTTTAAAGGGTCAGAAGGAGACTCCGGGATTCTCTTTGCCGGAGAGAAGGCGACGAGCCTGGAGGCCATGGGACGCAATGCTTTGGGAGTGGAGCGGAACTTCTTAAGAGCAACAGGTACCTGGAGTCTCCTGACCCTTGAAAAATGGTTCATTACCCAAAATAATGGGGCCATTGACCCATTTCTTAAGGGTCATGGAGACTCAGGTAGCAAAGCAAAGCTCGTGGAAAAAAAACAAACCTGAGACCTCTTTTAAGAGGGTCTGAAAAAAAGTCTGACACAGGGCCCGGAACCAGATCCAGGTGCTCTCTCTCCCTGTCTTTCTTCTCTTTCTTTCTGTGATTCCTTGAACAAAAACAGAACTCCCAATCCGATTAAAACACATCTTTCACAGGGCCGGTGAGAGTGGCCCGGCCAGCCAATTAAAACATCCTGTTTAAACCAAGAAAAAACATGTTTTACACTACCTCCCAGCCCAGAAGCCATAGGATGAACATCCAAGTATGGCAACACTAGATTCCCGGTGGCGGACGACTTCTATCTGTTTCGCCTTGAAGTCAGCACCGCCCTTTTCTTTGGCCAGCAAAGCGCAGCTCATTAACCATCATCATTCGGCAACACGGCAAACTGCACGATCATGCTGATCACCTTCTGTTAGCAGTTGGCACGTGCATCCAGCAAGCACTGCACAACTCCCTGATGGCCCTGGCCTGCAGCAACATGCAAGGGTGTGCGGCCTTCATTGTCTGCCTGCTCTTTGTCAGCACCGGCATCCAGCAAGCGCTGCACAGCTGCCCGACTGCCCTGCTGCGCAGCAAAATGCAATGGTCTAGAGCCCTTGTCAGTCGCCTTCTCTTTGTCAGCACCTGCATCTAACAAGCAGTGCGCAACTGCCTCATGGCCCAGGGAAACAGCAAGATGCAATGGCGTGCGGCCGCCATTGTCTGTCTTGCCAGTGTCAGCACCGGCAACCAGCAAGCACTGCACAACTCCCTGATGGCCGTTTGCTGCAGCAATTAGCAATGGTGTGGAACCAGTGTTGTCTGCCTTCTCTTTGTCAGCACCGGCATCTAACAAGCACTGCGCAACTGCCTGATGGCCCTTGCCTGCAGCAACATGCAAGGGTGTGCGGCCTTCATTGTCTGCCTGCTCTTTGTCAGCCCCGGCATCCAGCAAGCGCTGCACAGCTGCCTGACTTCCCAGCTGCGCAGCAATATGCAAGGGTGTGCGGCCTTCATTGTCTGCCTGCTCTTTGTCAGCACCTGCATCTAACAAGCACTGCGCAACTGCCTCATGGCCCAGGGACACAACAAGATGCAATACAGCAAGATGCAATGGCGTGCGGCCACCATTGTCTGCCTTGTCAGTGTCAGCACCGGCATCCAGCAAGCACTGCACAACTCCCTGATGGCCCCTTGCTGCAGCAATAAGCAATGGCGTGGCACCAGTGTGTTCTGCCTTCTCTTTGTCAACACCAGCATCCAGCAAGCACTGCACAACTGCCTGATGGCCCTCCGCTGCAGCAACATGCAAGGGTGTGATTCCATGGTTGGCAGTCTTCTTTGTGTCAGCACCGGCATCTAGCAAGCACTGCACAACTTGCAAATGGCCGTTTGCAGAAGCATGATGCAAAGGTGTCCTCTGTCTGTTTCTGTCAGCGGCATTGGGATCAAGAGGCTTCTCTAACAGCTCTAGCACAAGTTCTGCGTCGCCCATTTCCGCCCCTTGCAGCAAGTCTTCTGCTTCGCCCGTGTCTTCTTCAACATATTGCCGTACAACAGCCGTCAGGCACTCAGAATTGTCCCACGGAGTCTCTGGCCCCAACTTGCCTATGCCACTAGCCAATGCGAGCTGCCTGAAATTCCGCAAGCGCAATCCTTGCTTGGCCAGTGTCCATGGGAAAACCCCCCACACACACAAACAACTACCATGCATGTTGTTGAGTTGGTTTGATGGTTACCAATAAACATTGGAAAAACAACAACATCATTCAGAATGTTGTTGTTGGTTGATCTGCATTCAACTCCTAGCAAAGCAGGAAAATGGGATACCAATCGGTAACTGGGAATCTCTTGGCCAAATGGCGTCGTAGTGCGTCGAACAAACAGTCCCCATCTTCATTTCCGCGCTCGTCCCGCCACACGCAATACTCCTCCATCGTCATCACATCCGTGCCATCTAGCAAGCGAACGCATGCCATGTTCATTCGCTTGAGCCCTTTTTGCCTCCGCAAGCACCCCGTTTTAGTCGGCTCTCATCCAAAGCTTTACAGCAAACATTTTCATTGCTCCGCTCGTTCTAGAGAAGAGAAAAAGACCGCTTCAGGTTGACCATGTTCAGTGCTGGCCAAATAGCAAGCGCCTTTTTCTACGCACCATCTCGGGTAGAATCCACTGGGGCACATCCATCAGGTGTCTCTTTGCCCATGGGGGCCTTTTCCCAAGGTTCCAGAAGGTCTTTCCCCGAAAATTTGGGGACATTGGGTGCATGGTCTGTATGTGGTTTCTTTCAGGTTTCTCAACAAACCATCCATTTTTAGAGGCTCCGTATATTGAACGGAACCTCCAGAAGTTATCGAGTTGTAGACCCATCCCCAAGAGTCAAAATCCCCATTCTCGGCCGTGGCTTCTTTTCATTACTTGGGTGTCCGGCGAAGTTACGTTGTTGGTAACCTGGGTTACTCACCTATAAATCTAAGTGGAGATACCCCATGGATTAGAACCCAGGTGGCGAACAACCTGACTTGCTCAAACATCAGAGTAGCAATGATTGAAGGGTCAAAGTTTCAGACTTTGGCTTATAGGTGCCACCAAACTACCCAGCCCCAAAATGAGGTTCATTCGGTTTCCCGTTACCACAAAGAAAAAGGTTGTCAACTCTAAAAACAAAAACAGACCCATATGGCTGTGGCAACCAAAAAACCGGAATTTTCCAACATGGGTTGCCCGATCGGTCAGTGAAGACATGGAGCTACTTCCCAGGAACTCGCCGCGATGTGTCGTTGAAGGTAACCAAAGTATTTGGAGCAGAGCCCTCGAAGGTTTGCGGGGTGTGACTTCCTGGACGCTCCGACCCACCTGATCCACAGGGTTGAACAAGCTGTTTCAACATGTTTCATCCACCAAACTGCTCAAACAACCTTGGGGTGTCCTTTTCTGCATCTAGACCCAACTCTTTCAACCTGTGGACCTTCCCAGCCTGTGGCCTATTGACCCCAAACTGAATCAGGGGAAAACCGTGGCGCGTTTTTTTTGCGCAAGTGCACCGAGCACATGCCAATTGCTGTTGGTCAGTTCAGGTTCAAAACCGCTCAAGGGCCGTGCTCAGAAAGTGCTTGTCCCTAGGTTTTAACCCACATGAGTGGCTTGTCTTCTTTTGAGGGGACCCCGAACTGGCACAATTATTTTCCTTTGGTCCCTTTCAAACCCACACAAAAAGGTTGGTACCCAAAAAGAACCAAATGGAAACACTGGGTTTGGTCCCACCCTAAGCATCTTGGACCCTCAAAAAGTCATTCTTTCGAGGTCCAACACCAAAACCACTGGAGGTCTTGACCCCTTCAACGGAGTCAACGATGCTTACAGTTGGCAATCACCGATTTCAAGTTGGTATGTTGAGGCTCCGGGCACTAAAATGTGGTTGTCCTTTTGGTTTCCCATGATTAAGCTAGGTCCTCCAGATTTGAGAGGTTGGACTAAGGCTCCCCGATCTTTTTTCGGCTTTGTCTATTTTAGCAGGGGCTTGCCCTCCCTACCAAAAGAGAAACGGTAAAAAGGGCAGTGGGTAACGCCAAGCATCCTCCCGGAGCGCGGCAAAGGCGAAGTCGCTGGACTGGATCCTGACAAACCGAAGAAATCGCCCAGTTGCCCCGACCAGTTGGGTGGTGGTTCTCACAAATCTTATATACCCCCCGAAACCCGGATCAAGGGAAACATGGACGATTTCACCAGGGAACCCCCAAAATCAGCGGGCTCCCTCTTGCTTTCCCGTGAAACTCGCAGAAAAGGGCACGCTCAAAAGACCGAACCACTCCCAGGTATAAGGAGAGAAAGACGAACGCAATGCGTGCGAGGCGCTGCTTCACTGACACCAGCTGGTCGCGAACCCTTTTGCTGTCCTGAGTTCAGCTTCCCTGGCAGTTTGGATTGATGGCTTGGAGGGTACCTGGAGTCTCCATGACCCTTTAAAAATGGTCCATGACTCCATTATTCTGGGTAATGACCCCATTTTTTAAGGTCATGGAAACTCCAGGTAGGGATTTTCTCTTTGACCTTTACAAGAACCCGCAGGTTTTTAAATCCCCAAACCAGTCCATTCTTTCCAAACATCCTTCTTCCCAAAAACTACTGTATGGGGAGGAGAAGCAGCTGGTTGTTGAAACGAACAGTGATTGAAAGTGCTGAAAAGTCAAACACTCGACTTTGGGTGCTGCAACCAAACGACAACTAAGACTGGCTTGATGAAAACGTCGAGTCAAAGCGTCAAGGCAAAAACTGGTTGACAGCAAGGTCAGGGGTCAAACAACCTAAACTGACTGAAGCCCAAAGTGAAAAGAGCGGTACAAAGATTCAAAGTTGTTGCCGGTCGGTCGAAGGGGTCAACCCCTCACCCCACTCACCATTGGCGAATCCGACCAACTTGGATGCTGAACCTACTTAGTTAGTAGGTAACCATGGTTTTCTTCGCCATCTAACAAGAGTTCATTATACCCACCAGTTATCTTGGTTATAACCTACCTACCTGACGTAGGTTGAACACCCCCGGTACTCCAAACACCCTCCCTTTGTTTGGGACGATGTCAACCGGCTCAAAATGAAAGGAGCCAAATTTACCCGAACCCTCGCAAAAAGTCATCAAACATCTGGTTTTTTTAGCCCCAAAGTTATCGTTGGCGATCTCCCATGTCTATGGGTAGCGTCTGCTTCTGACACTTCAATTCATGGGGTTACCCCACATATTTTGGGGTATTTTGGACCCATTTTTAAGGGTCAGAAGGAGACTCCGGTTTGAGGCCGGTGGCTTCTTTCGCTTGGCGACTCCCACCATTTTGGGGTCGAATCCGAATCCGAGGCCCGAGAGCCCCCGAACTCGAGGTCGGGGCAAGCGGCAAGCGGCGGCCGGTGGTCCAGGGACCAATTTCTTGCCGTGCACGGAATCTTCGGAATGGAGCCTGACCCCTCGAAACTTCCTCCAACTTTGGCTTCTCGAAAATTTATTTCACCAAGAATGGCTCATTCAACGTCACATTCCCGCACTCGCACCCGCCGACTCCGACTACAGCCGACGGCTTTCTCCGACTCCACCCAGCGAGCTCCGAGCGTCGCCCCCGGAGCGCGGGGAGCCCCAAGTCACCACCTGGCCACTCTGCAGCACCGCCGCGAAGGCGCTGTCGGAGGCCTCCCGCAGGTCACGAGTCGAGCGAGTCGAGCGAGCCCAACGGACCGAGTGGTCGGAGGTCGGAGCCTACCGGGGGTCGACGCCCGAAGTGGTGTGTCACAAGAACCAACCAAAAAAAATGGGTGATCATGTGCACCCATGAAATTCTAGGGTAGACCCGATCAATCTTCCAGGGCATGGGGGTCCAGGAAATGGGAGTTGAATCGCCAGTTGCGAGGGTTCGCTTCCATGCACTCAAAAATCCAAACACTGATCGCAACTTGGCTAGGTTGTCTGTAACAATCACCAACTTTGGATGGAATTTTGAGGGTTCGGGCAGTTAGTTGTGTGCGGTTTGGTGATAAGCTACTTCTCTCAGCCTCCCAAAATTGTGGCGATAGAACCCAGGTGGCGTTGGCCACTTACCAACTTGGCCGAACATCCAAGTAGTGTTTCTTCAAGGGAACCCAAAAAGGAAAACCGAACTTGGGAGTCCCCTACTTAAGAGACACACACACACACACACACGCACACACGTTTCACACACACACACGTTTCACACACACAACACACACGCACACACGTTTCACACGTTTCACACGCGTTTCTTGCCACGTTTGGGATCCACAGAACGAGGAACATGGTTCCACGGTTTTGCTTGTGAACTTGACGAACTCGGAGGAACCTAAAGCTGGTTCTGGGGTGCATGTTTGTTCGATCCCAGTGGCAAAAAGAAGAAGTGTTTTTCTGACTCTGCAACTTGTACCCTAGGGTTCCTTGCCCCCAAGAATGACAAGGACCCAAGTTAGATGCTGACAATCCTGGAGGGTAAATAATGGTAAATATGAACCTGGAGTCTCCTTCTGACCCTTTCAAAAAGGGCCCATCACCTTGGCTTTTGGGTAACCCCATTTTTTCAGGGTCAGGAGACTCTGAGAACCCAACCATTGTTTTACGTGTTTTAATGGTGGCTGGTGGACTGCCTGAACCCCAGGGTACTTTGCCAGCCAAAAGACGTCGCCAAGAGCCAAGGATCTGAAGGATCTGAATCACCCCTCTGTCCGTCAACTCAGCGTCCATGAAAACCAAACGGCCACCTGGAGACTCAATCCCTTTGAAATAGGGTTATTGAACCAAACGGTCATACAACTAACTACACGCCACCTGGGCTTTAATCCCACAGTATTTGGTTGGTAGTTTGAAGCAAGTATATCACCCAACTTGAAATATGTGGCTTCCGAAGTTAACATTGCAGTTTACACGGGTTGATCAATACTCCGCCGAGCCCCCCAAATTGATCATAGGTAACGTTTCAATGAAAGTCATCTTCGGGTGGCTTCCCTAATGGTCATCCCATGTTCACCGGACCTTTTGATCAACCTCGACCCTGCAAACTCCACGGATGTCACTCGCCAAGAAGCCTTGGGAGCCCTATCACTGTCTGGTTCTCCGGGAGTCACGAAGGTTCTTCGAGACTACTACCTGGAGACTCCATGACCCTTTAAAAAATTGGGCCCATGACCCTTTGTTTTTGGGTAATGCGCCTTTTTTTCAAGGGTCATGTCCACAATGGCTTCGTGGCAACAACAAGTCTAACGCAAAATGCGTTAAGAGAAGCGAAGACATGAATGAAACATGACATGCAAAATGAAGTGCGCACTTGGCAGGAAAAACGCGTGTGACATTGATTGTAACATGAGGAGTGTTTCGGAATGGATCGCAATTGCATGTTTACCAGTGAACCCCTGAGTTGACCTGGCAAACTCGAATAACTACCAAGGCTCCTTTTTCTCACTTCCCGAGAGGACTGGCAAAAGAGCTCCATTTTTTGTTTGCCACTAAACATGGTTTTCCCAAATCGTGTGTTTAGTCCATGAACTCTGGGAGTGAGTTGATGGATCGATGTTTTGAGCCAAGGAGCCCGTGTTTTTGGTTTTCTGGCCACCTAGTGGTTCCGGCTTCTCCATGGGGCAACCACTTTGTATCGGCTGATAGGTGCATACTCCAGTCGCAGGATAAGGCGCTCGCCGAAAACTAGCCACAAGCGGGTAGCGCAGTATGTTACCCCGCAAAGAAGTGGTACGTTTTTTCCCCTCCATGCCTTTCAGATCCCCGAAACTGCCTCTCATAGACTGCCCAAAGAGAATCGAATCAAACGGGGCCTCGAAAGGGGCCTTTTAAGGAGGTCCAAACCCGCCCAGTGCTTCTTTGGGCATGAAATCTACTTAAGTACCCCCAAAAAGACCTTCTTTTCTGCCTTTGACCCAAAAAAAAGAGGTACAAAGGCGGAGAAAAAAGGGGTCCTTTGGGGGTCCAGGTAATTAGGGACCCCTTGGACCTCGGACTTTCGGGGGGGGGGTTGGTGCCAGCTTTTGCCTGGATCTCCCGGACATTGCGCAGCTTCTCGCGCACCTGGCCGGCCAAACTGGTGCAGAACCATGCTTCAAGAATTAAGAAGGCGGAGATCCGCAGCTATTTATGGTTGAGATTGTCCCTCACTAACCTTCATCTACCCGGGTTTTGAGCAAGTGGCACACATGATGCTGCTGTAGCAATAGAACCCCAACTAGGTCCTCCAGCTTTGAGAGGTTAGAATAAGTTGGTACCCGATTTTTTTTTCCTGGACGTCTATTTTAGTAGGGGAACCCTCCCAAAAAAAGAAACGGAAAAGGGAACTACTGGGGGACCTAGCTAATTAGTGATGGTGCTAGCTGGAAAACTGGTTGCGTTGTAGCAATACGACTTGTGAGTGTTCCGGAATAGAAAACTGCCCCCACAATAAAAAAAAATAATCTGTTGAACATTCAGGGTGCCCTACTTGGGTCTCTCTTTTTTCTTCGGCCAAGTAAGTTGTGACGGTCCCCCGACATGATTTGGCCAACCAAAGAGCTTCCCAGCCGAAAGCTATGGCGTCTCTGCCCAGCTCTCCGCGGAGGGCAGCCGTCTCTTCGCGGAGGGAAACTTCCGAAGGGTTCCGCTTGTTCTTTCGACAAATTTCTTTCCACTTTCTGAACCTCCACCTTGAGGCTCAAAATGGGCAGAAGCCACAAAGCCTTGGAAAGAGCAACAAATGCCGCTGCTTTGCGGCAGTTTGTGTTAAGGGAAAACCCTCCAGGGGTGGAATCCAAGTGAACCCGGGTATCTAACAAGTACAGCTAGAATTTCCCTTTGAGCCAGTACCACCAAATACCTGGCCTCAACCCTTGCAAAATGGGTCATTGCCCCAAAACTACAGCGTCAATTCCCTTTTTATGGGTAGTTTGAGGGCCCAGGTGTATCTACATATATATATATATATGTGTTTTCCTCATGCCAGCATACGGGGACATTGCGGAGGCCTGCGTTTTCCACATGGTATAAGTTTTATTTATGTTTCAAAACCGTTGCTTTCACAAACAAAAACATGGAGGCCAAGCTGCTATCTGAGCTTAAGGATTGAACCTTTGCGCATGGATTGCTAGTGGCTCATGTGGCTGGAAATGAGGGGCCTGTTACATCATCAGGGGTGGGTCTAGCTACTTTGCAAGCTGGGTGCATGCAAGAGCTGATATGGGAAGAGGTAAGCAAATAACTGAACCTTTTTGCACCCTCCATAGGTCATGAACACAATTCCTGATAAGTCGATCTCTTGTGGTAAACCCAAGAGAACCTTATGTTCAAAAAAGAGAGACAACAATGGAACACAGAATGCATGTGCTCCTTGTTTTCTTCAGACAGCTGGCAACATGTGCCACTCATTTGCGGGTAATTAGAAACCAAACAGAAACCATCAATATAAACTTCGAATTAATCAGGGCACTCCAAAATCGGAACCTGATTCCCACTCCAAGGAACTATCATCTTCGAAATTTCCTCCAGAGTCCACTTCTTGCCCGTTTTGTGTCTCCGCATTTCGTTCCATCCCTTAAAAAGGGAGGGGCTGCAGATTCCCCCAAAAGAGTGATCTGGATTCTGAAAAACGTGGGACACGTTGTGAGGATCAGCCAATATAAATCCAAGGTTCCCAGCCGGAAATGACTTATCTCAATGGATCTAGCTATACGTCTCTTGTAAATAGGCACCAGGTGGGAAACCCCGGTCTGGAAAGAGGACGTCCATTGGCTCAAACGAAAAAACCAATAGTTCGCTTTCTGCCGAAAAGGTTTGATAAAACCTCCCAACCAGTCCAGGGTGTGATTTGGAACGGATCTCAAACGTAGGACGTCTAGAATATGTTTCAGTTTGGTCCAGTGCTTGGGTCGAGGGCAGACTTGCGAGAATGCAAAACCGTATTTGTTGTACATGGAATTGTTGGCCATAGCAAGGGCATTGTTGTCCCAAGGCCACTGCTGGCTTTCCTCGACCACTTGAAGAAAACCCGCATTTTTTCTTTTGGTTGGTTGATCCAATCAATTTATGGTTCTGGAACATGGCAAAGGAAACTATCAGGCTTTCTGAGTATTTCTCCAGGCTCCAATTTCTGAAGCAACCATTCCGATTGAACGAATCGTGCCCCAGTCCTTCCAGCGGATCGCTTGGCTGTTTTCATGCGAATGCCTTGTTTGGAAGCCTGCAGAGCAATGGGACGGATCTATGGGGTTGCTCCAAACATTTCTGAAGGGAAACAAAATAAATCAATCACCACTACAATCATGTATGGGTTTTGGAGGTATGGAGGTTAGATACCACCTACCGCCTTGTAAGCTTACATTCGTTGTACACAAGGATTCATTACCTCCAAAACACCATAGCCGCATACCTGGGAATGCCCCGGGAAATACGGCCAAATCCACAAATAGTTGCAACCATACTACAGTGCAAACTTTTAGACAGCAACGCCGATTCACGGTGACCATTGTTGCCTGGAATGCTAGCATCAACACCACCCACGAGCAACCACTGCGAAACTCAATACTCTGCTAGGCAGAAAACTGTGATGATGTGGAATGTGGCGCTCACCTCGCAGCACCTTGCCTTGTAGCACCGGCATCCGCCAAGCACTGCACAATTGAGTGGTGACCCCGCGCTGCAGCAACAATCAATGGTGTGGCGCCTGTGTTGTCTGTCTTCTCTTTGTCCAGCAAGCACTGCACAACTCCCGGATGGCCAATGCAGCACGCTGCAATGGTGTGCAGCCCGTGTTGTCTGCCTTGTCTTTGTCAGCACCGGCATCCAGCAAGCACTGCACAACTCCCTGATGGCCGTTTGCTGCAGCAATTAGCAATGGTGTGGCACCAGTGTTGTCTGCCTTCTCTTTGTCAGCTCCGGCATCCAGCAAGCACTGCACAACTCCCGGATGGCCAAGTTGTGCAGCACGCTGCAATGGTGTGCAGCCCGTGTTGTCTGTCTTGCCAGTGTCAGCACCGGCATCCAGCAAGCACTGCACAACTCCCTGATGGCCGTTTGCTGCAGCAATTAGCAATGGTGTGGCACAAGTGTTGTCTGCCTTCTCTTTGTCAGCACCGGCATCTAACAAGCACCGCGCAACTGCCTGGTTGCTTAACAGGGCAGCAACCAGCAATGGTGTCATGCCCAGGACATCTGATTTGTCTTTGTCAGCACCGGCATCCAGCAAACACTGCGCAACTGTCTGATGGCCATGCCGAACAGCAACTTGCAATGGCGTGGCTCCTGTGTTGTCTGTCTTCTCTTTGTCAGCTCCGGCATCCAGCAAGCACTGCACAACTCCCGAATGGCCCTGGTTTGCAGCACGCAACAATGGCGTGGCGCCCCTGTTGTCTGCCTTGTCTTTGTCAGCACCGGCATCCAGCAAACACTGCAAAACTGCCTCATGGCCATGCCGAACAGCAACTTGCAATGGCGTGGCGTCTGTGTTGTCTGCCTTGTCTTTGTCAGCACCGGCATCCAGCAAGCACTGCACAACTCCCGAATCCGTGTTGTCTGCCTTGTCTTTAGTCAGCACCGGCATCCAGCAAACACTGCAAAACTGCCTCATGGCCATGCCGAACAGCAACTTGCAATGCGCCCGTGTTGTCTGCCTTGTCTTTAGTCAGCACCGGCATCCAGCAAACACTGCAAAACTGCCTCATGGCCATGCCGAACAGCAACTTGCAATGGCGTGGCGCCTGTGTTGTCTGCCTTCTCTTTGTCAGCACCGGCATCCAGCAAGCACTCCACAACTTCCAGATGGCCAGTTGCAGAAGCATATAACAAAGGTGTACCATGGCTGCCTCTGACAGCGGCATTTGGATCATGAGGCTTATCTAACAGCTCTATCATATGTTGCAGGTCGCCACTTCTCGCCGCTTGCAGCAAGTCTATGCAATTTGCCAGACCATCTGCTTCACCTGCCGCTGCTTCAACATATTGTCGTTTAATTATCGTTAGGCACCCAGCATTCTCCCACGAACTCTTTGGCCCCAACATGCCATGGTCGCCAACGAGCCCAAGCTGCCTGAAATTTGCCAATCCCAATCCTTATTTGGTCAGTCGCCATGAACAATTAAGCAGCACCGATTGATTTGTTGGTTGATCTTAAAGAAATACAAACCCAAAAAGACAACCGGGGACTAATGGGCAGCTGGGAATCTCTTGGCCAGGTAGCGTCTCAATGTGTCAAAATGACAATCCCCATCTTCCTGTCTGCACAGCTCATCCTACCACAGGGAATACTCCGCCGTTGTCATCACATCTGTGCCATCCAGCAAGCGAACGCACGCCATGAGTGAACTGGACACTCCGTAATCGTAATCGAATGTCAATATAAACTTTGAACCGATCGGACAAAGGAATCGCCACGCTCTCCCAACAGGGTGTGTCAAAATAGGGGGGGACCCCTAATAGTTCTGCTCATCCTGGTTTCCCTTTCAGCCAGCCTGAAAAGGGGTACCGAGCCTCACAAAAACGCACAAGTCACACACTCGAATCATCACAAAATGCCTACAAATCGATTTGCGGCCATCCAAAAGCTGATGTATCAACCAGCTCCAACTTCAAGTGCTCGAAACCAGCATTTGCTTCTTTTGGAACATCGGCAAGATCTCCCGTTCATTTGCTTGCCAAAGCCCGGGTTCTGATCGTGCTTGTTTTTGCGCAGTTTTCCGGGGGCCAGCAAGCCCTCTGTTTAGATTCCACTCCCAGTTCTTCCACTCACCATAAGCAGAGGACACCATGTAAAAATCAGAAGGACACAATTCACGGTCGGAATCAAGTTCGAACTCATCTACCGCCGCAGTCTTCCAAATGGGTGTCACAGTGGGAGAACTCCTCCCCCAAAAAATACGGCCATCCACTTGCCTTAAAAGGGTACCGGGCCTCAACACACACACACACAGACAAACCAGAAAGGTGTTGAATAGTGATATGGATGAGGAAATACGTGGCCATTGTGGCAATGAAGGGTTAATTGGTTGAATCATTGAGGGTTTCCCACCCCGTACTGTGTGCACACTTCTTGCCGGCGCTTGAATCAGTCTAATGAGTCTAAAGGCAATCACACGTTGGACAAAGGCATTGATCTCGGATTTCCCAACATGGGTGGCTTGCAACCTGATAATGGAAAAGTAGAGAAAAGCCTGCGGTCCATATCCTGGCTCTTAAAATTTGAGCCACACCCAACTCTAAGTGGAAAAACATTGCCCCCACCCTCACTTGATTTACAGAAAGTAAACTCTAGGGTTTTTCATTGCTACTAGAATGCTAACTATGGGAGCATGCGGACATTCCGTGGATAGGCCCTAATCCACTTTGCACAAGGGATTGTTAAACCCTACAAACAATTGGGATAAACCCCCTACCAACTGCTGCATGGTCTGTCGAAAGAGAAAACAGCCAGCAATTAAATGTGTACATGCTACAGTATATGCATACACACCTGGACCCTCCTTGCCTTTTGTTGAGCTCCGAATGGTGCCCAATCTTCCCTTGTACAGAACCCCAACATCGTAGAATCGTCACTTTTGAGAGCGGTTTTGTGCACTGTTTCTTTTCTAAAAGCAACGCAGCTCACTGAAAAAAAGCTGGCTGTAGGTGACCATCCCAAAATGGGTGGTGAATTCACATACCAAAATGGGATCCCATTGACCCACAGCTGGAAAAACGCGGGCATTGGCGCCAGGGTTATGAACCAACAGCCATTGAACAGGGATCCTTACATTATACACCAGAACATTGCCTTGTACATGGTGGTTTCCCTTTATTTTGGTGGAAAAAACCATGTTTCAAATGGGCAACGTGTATCTTTTAAGGACTCCTGTTGAACCCAACCCGCACCGACCGCCCCAAATCCTGTGAGCAGTCGCCGCCGCTGTCCGGCTCTCCCCAGGCCACCACGGTACCATCCTCTCGACTCGACACTTCCATCGGTTTGCAGCCCTTGAGTACCCCCAGGTCCCCCAGATTTGAGAGCTTAGAATAAGGGTACCCGATTCTTTTTTTCTGTAGTCTATTCTAGTAGGGGACCCCTCCCAACCAGAAAAGAAACGGTAAAAGGGCACTACTCGGGGACCTAGTACCTCTTTCCGGGATACCAACGTGGTTGCCCCATTGCTTTCTCGTTTCAGCATCACAGAACTGGCCCTACATCAAATGTTCCACAATCGGACTTGATCAATTGGCAAATTGGAAAAGAGGTCGGGAAGCCTCTGAGCAGGGTTCAAACAACGTGAGTCATAATCAAAACAGATCGGTACTCAAATGGTCTACCCAGAGCCATGTAAAGAATTAACAAGGCATCTGCAAAAATGTAAGGTTGGGATGAATTACCCGTATTAACCCTCATCTACCCGGGTGTTGACTGTGGCGCAATTGAGCAAACCATGTTTCAACCGGAAGTTGACCCCCTTGTGGCCACCATCTTGAAATGTGCATTCAAACTTGCAAGTAGCCGAACCGTAAAAGTGGTTGGGCCAAGACAAAAACATACAAAACACACCGCTCAGGACGTCTCTTCTCTGTCAAAACTTAGAGTTCCCCCCCTTTTTGCTGAAGGTCGAAGGCACAATTTACCTAGGCACCGATCTATTTTTGGGTTTCATCTTCTAGCTCGGGAACCCAAAAACCTCCAGAGGATGCACTTAGATCCAGGGAAACAAGGGCTGAAAGCAATTTCGAGAGAAGCTGCCCACACTTTGTCATGTGCACTTGAAAAAATCCATGGGGTTTCTCACCGAATGACGACTTTGAGAACAAAGTTCTGAAGATGTGGGCCTTTGAGGGAACCAACAAGTGAAATCCCCCTCCCTCAAACTGTGAATAAAACAAGAGAGTGCACGCAGTTTGCGGCAACCAATCTTTAAGGGTACCTGATGGTACCTGGACCCTTACAACGCTTACAACTCCTTGACAAAAACCTCGGTGTGCTCTTTCGGCTCCAGGCTGTTCTTTCGGGTCCTTGAGGCCCCCAACCCCCACGAGTTCGTCGTCGGGTCCTCCTTCAAAGCGGCGAAGGCGCGGGCGGTGGACTGGATCTCACGGACCTGCACCAGCTGGTCCCGCACATGGGTACTGTCACCTCCCAGGCGAATGGATCTTCCGGTTGTTAAACAACCCCCCCCCCCCCGCTCCTGAACAAAAAAAAAACGGCAGAATTGAAGGGAGCACTTTGCGGGTGTCACCCCCCCAAAAAAATACAGAAAGGGGATTTGAAGGAACTGAAAATCATTTCTGTATTTTTTCTATCAACCAATGAAAAACACATTGAAAAACCAAGTATCAAATAATAGATAAGGTTAATAAATCACAACCTGATTCATTCTAAGTAATTCCTAGAAAAGATACACACCTTATCCATTATTTTTTCACTACTTAACCTATTTCATTTTACTATGTGTTTATCCTTATTCATTTTGTATTTTAAGTCTTTTTCCAATTCTCAGAAACTCCAGTTGTTCTTCATTTTTTATTTTTACCTTATTCATTGTTCACGAATTTTTCACTCAGACTTAAAAATATGACTAAAACACATTTCCACCTTTAATAATATTTGTTTCAACCTTATTCTTCAACTGGTTTATCATCTTCTTCATTGCTTAGTTTTGGTTGTCCTTTTTCTCAATTCTTTTCATTCTCGCTTTATCCACAACTTCCCTACACCTAATACAATATCTATATATGCGACCAGTGCTTCTAACTCCAAAGTCATTAACCTTTTTCCAAGACAAGCACCTAGTACATTGATAATCATATTTACATTCTTCCAATTCCTTTTCAGGTATTCTAGTATTTATTCTCCAAAGATAATCGCGCAAATCCATGATAATATATACTACTAATAAGTCTTTATACATTTTACCAGTAAAACCCGTAATTACCAATACCAACTCAAACCAAACAGCCAAAGCACATAACCAAATCAAGAAAAATATAATAATTCAATCTTTACAAACGATAAATATATTACAATTATAACATATAATATTTTACATGTGATAATCATAGTATGAGTTCAACTTTATTCTAATTAATTTTAAAATTATCTTTCAATTCGTTTCACTATTTTATCAGCTGTTTTTCGATTATAAATATTATTTCCTATTTCTTTTACAAACGCCTTCAATACACTAATTGCAAGTCTTGCCGTATATCTAAGTTCAAGAGATTTATACTTATAATCTATAAATTCATTTAAAAAATCATAGCCATTTTCATTCAAGGCTTCGTATTTTAAAAGCTTAATGCTAAAAGACATATTGTATAATCTTTTTACCATTCTATAATAATTATAAATAAAACCATCCACATATCCATTATCTAATACATTATCATATTCTTTTTCAGTATAGAACCTATTCATTTCAATAAAAACAAATATTTCTAAATCATCATCAAGAGTTTCAGCATTTCTAGTATCAAAATCTGCGTTATTCATATAATCAATTTTGTTTATAATTCTATTGCAATTATTGCATATCATACATTGACAAATATTATTACTAACACCATCTATAAAACCCTGTTGAATTGTTAACTTTAACATCTCACAGTCTTTACATTTGTAATTCATAAACTGTTGTTTCAATATATTTTTAACATCAATATCTTCATGGACAGTATCATTAAATTCGCTATACACATTTTCTATATAACTATATTCTCCATATTCACTTTCTGCATCGCTCATTTCTATCTTAATATATTAAGTCAATATTTCTTTAAGTCGTTTTCAAAGAATCTATTTTATAATGGCCGTAAGCAAGTGAGTTTACACTATCTATCCAATATTTTTTGTTTTCATAACTACTAAGAGCATTTTTTTTAGTTGTTATACTAAAAATTCTGTGGTTTTTACTTCTAATACTATTAAATGACTTATGTATAACCTCATTAGTGTTTAAAACCGTCTCAAACTCTTCATATTTCATTTGACGTCTTACTGTGCCTTTTGCTATTCCCTTACATTTCTTATATTTTTTATCATCACCATAAACTGAGTAAGCATAGCATTTAGGACGAAGGGCTATAAACCCTGTTATTATTTTACTTTTTAATTCATCCTTAAATTTCCCTAATACTTTCTTGTTATTATCATCATAACATTTATGTTCCTTAGGATAATCTGAAAAATCTAATTCTTTTTTAATTGTATTAAGGTCTTCATAAATGTCATTGGTTTTAGTATGAAATACAAAACTATCAGTATCAGTATATACCATTTTAATATTATCTCCATATTTAGGCTTCATAACGTCATAATAAAATTTATACATGTGTTGCTTACTCAAATCTAAAATACTCATCCCAATAAATATAGGTTTGTCTAGTTTCAACTTTGTTTTTTGCTTTTCAACTCCAACCAAATTCTCATTAATGATATGACTATGTTTGAAGTTAGGATTACTTACACACTTCATATATCTAGTTTCATCACTCACAACCTCAAAGTCTAAATGTTTTCGCTTATCCTCCATTGCTTTTCCAAATATGGCATTGTTCATCAATTTGTAAACATCTTTCTCAAAATCATTTCTAGCATTCTTCCTCTTCTCAGTGTTAAACTCAATGTAAGGTTTTAAAACTTCTTTTTGTTCAAATTTAATTGCTCTATGAATTTTCTTAAGTTTTAACCCTTGCTTCAAATAAAATTGCAAGGTTCTTATATGGATTACATATTTTTCTTTATCATTTAAGTTCAATATTAATGTATTTGTTTTCTCATCCGTAGGTTTTTTATGATTTAAAAATTCATAAATTTCAATTTGTTTATCTGACAGCATGTCGGCTTTAACATTCATAACCTCAGGTGCCATTGGATAGTCATTGTGTAAATCGTGTAATTCTTTAGGATATTCTAAATCCACTTCTAGAATATATCCAATATTATTATTCTTGTAATTAATAATGTCTTCTTCTTTTAATGTATCATCCCATTTTAGATTTTTATATGGCAGTTTTTGTATCATGCTTAACCCGTACAAATTATTAGCATCAAAATAGTTAATATAACTACTTTCTTTATTTTTATCATATTCTTCTTCCATGTATTTATTATTTGCTTCAACTTTTTTAGTAGAAACCATACACATCCCGCCTCTAAGTCCCGCTTCTATCATTTCATACATTTCTTGGTCATATATTAAATCAATCTCTACACCAGTCATTTTAAGCATAGCATCAAAAGCAAAGTTAGGCAATGTGTGATAATAATAAGCAGGGTCCAATCCATAATATTTCATGCACACATCTCTAAAATTTTCGAAAATGTCAGTCAATAATAATACATCAGTTTTCAAATATAAATCATGGTATTCACCCATATTCTTAATGTCGAAATGCTTCCATATAATTTTTGCCCTTTCAAAGTCGTTAACACTTATACCTTCTTCACTCAACTGACTATAAAAATCATCCTTACTCGGTAATTGCTCATCATCAAATTTATCAAATGAGTTCATGTAGTCATAAGGATAAACACCTTTATCAGTTAATAAATCTAGACATTTCTCACTCTTAATCACATCATTTTTACTACTGAACCTAAAATCATCTTTCCAGTTTTCACGCAATAACCATTTACTTTTATCTTCTTCATCTGTATTATCATACTTACTCATTGAAACTAACTTATCTAATGAAGCAGTTAAAAACCCAAAAGTGTCTTTAACACTCAAACTTTCAAAACTGATATTAATAAATTGTTCACTGTTCTGAGCGATGACACCTATTTTATTGTTGTTACTTAATTTATCAGCATTTTGAATAATTAAATGACCGTCATAATTTTTCATGTTATGGAAGAATACTGGAATTTTAAAATATCTATTACAAAAATTAAGATTACAAACATTATGAGCACAACCTCTATACTTACCTGTAAAATGACAATGGTCTCTAACTTTTCTATATTTCTCTGCTTCCTTGGCATTTTTATAGTTCATTCTAAACTTGTTTCGCGAAGCTGACGCATCGCTCAAGCGAAATGCGTCTCCACAAATAAAGCAGTTTTTAGCATGTTTAAAATCTTCTTTGTCTTCATCAGTCATGTCTATTTTTTCGTTTTCTCCCATCTTCTCCTTTACTTCTGCCCTAATGTCATTAAGTTTTTGACAAAACACATCAACAGCATCTTTACCACGATACATAAATTCATAATTTGTATTATCAACAGCATTAACCATATTAAGCATAAAACCACATGGTTTATGCTCTTGATAAGAAAAAGTGTTTTTATCTTCATCTTCATCAGGCTTTTTCAGTTCCTCTGTCAAACATTCAAAATCAGCATATACAACAAAAGGACATCTTAACTTTTTGAAGTGATGCTTAAAACTAACTTTCTCATAAGGCTTAGGCATTACTATTTGTTGACCATCAACTTCCATGCATCCACTATCATAATGTTTATTTAATAATTCTTCATTTCTAAATCCATGATTACAATATTTACAAAAATAGGACTTACCATTATGATTACTTTTTTGATTATTAATAAGTCTGCTCAAACTTTTTATATACACATAATGACTGCAATCCTCATCATCAACTCTTAATAAATCAACATGAAAAGAAGCATCTTTATTTTTCAATTTTCTACTAATAACAATTTGTTCATTATCATCAATTTCATAAACATTAATGGATATTGATTTATTATTTTCTTCAAATATATCTATATCATTATTATTAGCAGGAAAACTCACACCATCAAAAATCAAATCACTTGCTATCTTCTTGTAATGAAACATCTTTTCAGGGTGTGCTTTATCACAAATTTTACAATATCCACACTCAATAGAATATTTAAAACACTTGTCATCTTGATTTTTAATATTGATACATGCCTTTTTCTTTTTAATCCATTCTGGAAGTTCAATATATTTGCCAGCTCTAGTCGGATTATATTTATTATACATGATATGAATATTATTGATATTGCTAATTATTAATCCTGACTGATACAAAGCCATATCTAAAATTCTTGTTTCAACATCAGGTCTCATTCTTTTCAAAGCATTCCTTAAATCCTCTTCATTTACAATAGTGTACGACCTTGTCCTAACTGTTACGTTTCTCTCC